ATCTCTCAACTCATCTCTGATTTGGCAGAGATGAGTTAGGAGATTGCCATAATGGTAAGCCACCACCGTCAACTGCCGCATGGTATTACCATCGCGAATACGTGAGCCGTCAACGGCGACTGGTAGATGGTACCGCCATCGTTATTGCGCGAGCTCCTACCAGAAATTCGTTGCGCCGCCCTTGGGGGCAAAAAACGGTGAAAGTTAAGGTACGAAACCAGAGGGCAGCACAGGATGCGATCGCACGATCCTGCGCGTGAGCAATCTCCCAACTCATCTCTGTTTTAGAATGCAAAGAATGCAGATATGGTCTCTGATGTTGCATTTAATAAGAGGACGTTTGTCTTTGAATGCTATCAAGAATTAATATTCGTTAGGAATTTGTTCTCATTGAACAAAAATTCAACTCAAGTGGAATTCTTGTGACGTGTTTATAAGTTCATGAGCAATATTTTTCAAGTTTTCATGAAGAAGCAATAAACTAAAAGAATTGTATCATTTCTGTAATGCCTAGTCAAGAGTCGGTTGCCCATGATTCGTTTGATTTCAGAAGTTCCATTAATATGAAACGATTGAAACAAGTTTTTTTTATTTTAATACTTATTGAATAATCTCCGTTTTTCTTTTTTATCTCATCATGCTGTTTTGCACGAGCTTCTTGAGTAGTTGACGACGATTTGGCATTATTTTCATACTGTTTCAAACGAAACAAATCAAAACGAATCGGCGGACGGTTGTGGCTGAAATCAATGAGAATTATTTGTTGTAATGCAAATCAATGTCTTATAATAACAATACACATACTAATGTTTAATTCTCAGAAGTAAGTTTGGTTGATAAGTGGTTAATTTGTTTAACATAACCAAGCTTTTGAAGCATTCCAAAACAAAGTAACGGTAAAGGCACGTTTATCATTAGCCGGCATAACCTTCAAAATTGTGATATAAATCATTCTAGATAATTAATACACGTGTGAATTAAGAAAACCGTGCAAATAAAAATAGAAACGAAAGTATGACTGTTTTTTTAAACATACTTTCGTTCTAACCATTGTTAATAAATATTATTAATTTGGAATACGATGCCCTTTTTGTTAAAATAAATTAATCTTCGTGTACAGTAATAATTAGGTCCAAATTATTAGGATGATTTCTGTTTGGTGTGTTCGTAATTATATAAATATGATGTTTTAGTCATTATGATAAGTAATCAGATAATATGACATTGATTAATGCATTTTTTTTAATCAGTGAAAACTTCAGAGGAAATAATAAACGAGATGTATCAAACACTGGTAGAGTTACAATGCCCTCTGATAGCACAAACTGACTTAAAGGATTTTGAATCTATTGTTTTGAATGGCGAAAATTGTATCACCTTATTATCTTGGCTACTTACTCGTAGTTGTCCTGATATTTCTGCAGCCTTGGAAAACCACAAGGATTCCACCATACACAAAAGTAATTTTTCTTATAATTTTTACGAACCATTTAATTAGAGACCAAAATTTATCTATTTTTTTTCAGCAGCTGTTAAAAAATACTATACTCAGCTAGGAATTTATATGGACATAGACTCATTACTGGTTAGTAATTTACCATTGCACGTTTATGTTACTTAGAAGTTAATTTGATTAATACCCTTGATTAGAGTAACTCTGCCACGAAGGACCAAGATTCTGTATTACAAACACTCTTAATATTTATGAAAGAAAGTCTTAGTTTAAACGGACAGAAAGCACGGGTTGATGAATCAGAAATTTCAACGATATTACAGGTAAGATTAATAAGTTCAAATTAGATTTGCATTCTGTACAATAAGTATAAATATCATTTTCATACAGAAGCACGTCAACGAAAATATTGATTTAATTCCCTCATCGTGTGGTATCAGTTTAAGATTAAGTTACACGGAAGGAAAAAAATATTTCGATGGTATCAAACAGAAGGTATTACTAGAAGACAGTAAATATGACAATAACATTAATTCAGAACAATGTGTATCACCATGCCAGGTATTGTGTAGTACACTTATGTTTTTATATGGAAGCAGTGCTTTGTATAACTTTTTTAATCAAAATCTAGGAAACCATCAAAAGTGACCATGGATCCTTGGTACCTATTGAGGAACAGTTTATTTCAGCTTTTGATTCTATTTCATCTTGGTCAATCCCTCAAAATAAGAATTTTGTAAAAAGTATAACAGGAAACAAAAACATGCAGAACATATCCTCAACATTTTCATTTCTGAAACAGGTTTGATACCAGATTTTTTTACATTAATCAAAAATGAATTTATTTTATTCATTTCTTTTCATTTGCAGACATTGAATCTGAATAAAGAAGTATCCAAACTCACTGTTCCGGCAGAAATAAAAAAGCTTCAAACACCATTGGATGAGGTCATTGAAGATAATTTGATTTGTTTAGAAAAAGTTAACAGTTTGTATAATAATTAATGTAGTCATTGATTACCCAGTTCTGTAAAATAATGATATGAATATTTTATACTATCTACATCTTGATTTATTTCCAAATATTTTGGTTTAATTTAAAAAATGTATATGAACTATATCAAAAGATAATTTTATATTAACACGTTCACGCCGGCGCGTACCACCGGTGGCTCGCGCTTGATTGCGCCATCGGGCGGCGCGTACCACCGGTGGCTCGCGCTTGATTGTGCCATCGGGCGGCGTGTACCACCGGTGGCTCGCGCTAGACGCATCATCGGGCGGCGTGTACTACCTGTGTTTCGCATTCGATTGTGCTATTAGACACTGATAATTTAACGTACATACATAAAAACGTGTATTTTGAATAAAAATTATAATTAATAACGTATTATGAACATAAATTTTGCTTAATAACACACACATAAAAATTCAGTATTATGAATGTAACTTCAACACTCAAATCTTCCCCCGAGGAACATTTCATAACGTTGCTGTTTACGTTAACAAAATCTTCGCCTGAAGAGGAAGAAAGTATTCGTAATCTTGATGCGTTTCTCCTGCCTCTATTTACACATTCATGAGACGAATCACTTATTTCCATATCCATGTTATGGGCAAAATTAAAAAAATATTTTTAAGGGCAAAATTTAAAAAAATATTCTAACCACCTTTTAGTTATTTTTACTAACAGAAATCTGTGGTTAGGATATAAAAAACGGCACGAGTCACATAATTTGCAAAGTAAGCGCTCAATGTAATACTGAAGAAACAAGAAGCGCGTGCAAGTCTGAACACGCGAGAAATGCGCGCCGCCAGATGAAGCGCGACATAGATTTGTGTGCCGCCGTTGGGGGAAACAAATGAAAATTGGCGCCGGCGGGAACGTGTTAAACTTGTGTAAAAAAAAAATATTGGGTAACTTTTCTTGTATTTATTGTAAATACAGACAGAAATACATTATCTTGTATGTTGATTGCTTAAGATCTGGGACGTTCTTTCTTTTCTTTGTACAATGCTAACAATGAAACATTTGCGACCTTTACAACCTTGAACCGAACTCCGGGAATGTCACCAACGGCATGACCTTTACGTCCAAAACCTGCAACTAGAACTTCATCGTTTTCTTCAATGTTATTCAAGCAACCATCACGCGGTACAAAAGCCGTGATCTTCTTTCCATTCTTGATTAACTGTACCCTTACACACTTGCGGATAGCAGAGTTAGGTTGTTTAGCTTCAACGCCGCTGTAAAACAAGAACATTTGGTAATTTTAAATCGGTACCTTCATAAAACACTGTAAAACTTTTTATTTACACTTACACTTTTTCTAAGACAATGCCCTTAGCGTGAGATGCACCACCAAATGGATTTGCCTTCCAGCGGGTCCCCAAGTGAGCTTTTTTGTAGTCTTTGTCATTCCACCGCTGATCACGCCTGTGGTTAACGTGTTTACGGGCGGTACGAAGACCACGTGGTTTACCTAAAAACCAAAATGTCAATTTACGTTTACATTACGTAGGTTTAATGTAACATTTAAATATAGTTCCTGCGCATTAATCAATGGTATTTTATTAAATACGAGGCTAAACAGGAAGTAAGTAACTAAAAATCGAAGTAAAATTCATTGTTAAGTAGTCGCCCTTCTACGATACCGAACATAGGTTATGTTTGTGACATGTCTCTAGTTTCAGTTGTGACGTTACATATAATAACAGTTTAAGGCTTGTTGTAACCCAGGCTTAATTTACGTGACCGACCAAGTACAAAATGCACAAAAACACGTTTACTTGTTAGGCGTTATGGGTGAAACCACACACGCTGTTACACCATGGGATACATGCTATTACAGAGCGTCCTATTTCTTTTTTAACAGAGTTAACCACTGTTGCTAAAATAATAATTCCCACACTGCGCTTAATGATTTAACACATTTCGAACTACAATAAATGAACAATTTCTTACGTACCCATGTTGATTAGTCGGTAAAACAACCGGAAGAGACTCCTTCAGAAAGAACGGAAATCTCCTGCCGCCATGTTTAAAATATCGAAAGTCGACATCAGAAGCGAGAGAAATGCCGCGAAATTTAAATAAGTATACTCCATGCTCTTTTCGTTCTCCAAATTTACTTTTAGTCCAATTCTTCAGTACGCATGCAAAAAATACCAACTATTGAATCGAATGCTCTGATTAATGGATTCATGTTTTCCACGATGTCGTAATCACGACAGTTGACGTGCGTAACAAAAAGAAGTACACAACTTACAGATAAAGAAGTAATTGTGTCGAATGTCAATACTATTTAAAATTTATTGTATAGTACAAGTCAAGGTCGATGACAGGGATTATCAATCGTAATTTCTACGACTACAATACATTAATTNTAATATATAATACGTACATTCGATCAGTATTTTATTAAAAACTGATCTGCTTCGCTATCGCGCGTACTTATCATTGTTTTATTATTGATAGAGCGTAATTTATAATATAGAGGCGAGGAAATATTGCCAATTACAGTTTCACTATTTCAGCCTATATTAAGAATACTGTTGAATGTACATTACAAAAAGCAAATGCTCGATAGGAGTCAGATTTGCCTCTTAAATATACTTCATCACTTCTACAAAGTGCCCCGACGACAGCTTATATATGATTCGTTACAAAAGTAAGATGCAATAAATAACTGATAGAAAAATATCTTCTCGGATTTCTGTACCCTTTTTCATTTTCGTTGTCTTCCATGAGTACGCTTAGTTTTTTTTTCTTTTCTGCGTTATGGGAAATTTAATCGAGGAAACTTACATTTAACAGAATGCACCGGTTTAGTAACAGCATGCCTGTATTACTCTAAGTAACTAGTTCTTAAGAACTAGTTGAAAAATACCTATAAGTAAAAATTAGGTTCTATATACGTATGACGTAAAACAATAGTATTTATTAAATACGGATACTTCAGTGAAGGATACATGTGACACGGAAATATAATAACGCAGGCTTTGAAACTATTGCAACATTTCACAGGGATTATGTTACGTATTTAATCATTGAAATTGAACGGCAATAAAAGATTATGGCTGATTCTGCAATTTGAAAACTGCGTAATAGTATAAAAAGTATTCGGCAGATAATTTAAAAATAGAACACGTTTAGTTGAAAATTAGGTTTAAATAAATTCCAGGTTTTTTAACTGTATTTTGTACGAAATGGGAGATATAGATTGAACTTGTAAGCGATGCTTATAATCGAGATAAGTAATGTACAGGAAACATAGTAAAATAATTTGTTACTTTCATGTAAGTAGTCATCTTGGATGTAAATATAAGTTTATCAGCTGAATTATAATTATTGCACTAAACCTTTGTATTTTGCCCCAGATCTCTCAAAATATCGTAAAAGATTGTCACGTTTAAGTATGCAAATGCTAAATACAGAAGCGGTACTACAAGGGATGAAAGTCTATATAACTGGCTCTTTAAATAAAATACTTTCCCCAGTGGATTTCAAAGTGTGCAAAGACATAAACTAAGAAACGCAGGAAGACCTATTGCTAATGTGTACTCGTAGAAGTGTTAAAAAATGAGTTATAGAAGCTACATTCAGTTCAAACATAACAAGAGTTTTATAGTATAACTAGCTAAATGAAGAACACACTTTTTTTTATTAACATCTTTTTCTATTTCTGGAATTGATAAAGTGTAACTCAAATTTACATCTGATTATACCACTTCTAACCCTCAGAAGCGCAAATAGTTCTACTGTCTCATATTACATATTTATATTGACATTTTTTGCAATTTAAATTATATTACTATGCCAGTGTACTAAACTTGAGCAACTGAGTAATTTTGACCCGTAAGTCATTTCCAACTAGAAATATATTTGCATACGTATGTTCCAGTAATAGTGCAAAGAGTATTTTTTTAACATCTGCTTTAAATGATAATTGAAATATAAGCTCAGCGCCTCGAATAACTTTGAAGGAGCAACACTATGCTGGTGGAACGCTTTATCATTCTTCGTGTATGTTATTACGCATCTTAATTTTTGTTCGCTTCTTAAAACATGAAAGCAAATGATGGTTTACAGTCGTACTTATAAGTTTTTAGCTTGCTTTCTTTTTGCACGAAAACACAGTTATCACCTAATTCGTACTTTATCTCGAGTTTGAGCACTTCTCTTTTTTAAGAGTTTCAGAAGGATGTATTCTTTAACATCTCTCTTACACTTCACAGTCTTCTACGTTGCCGATATACAAAACGATTATAAATTGCTTCAAAAAGGATTATAATAAGATAAAGAAAAGTGCAAACATATGGCTTAATCTCATACCATACCCTACATAAGCCAGGTTTTGTTTAGATCTTGCATCCAACATTAAAAGCTACAAATTACTGTTAAAGATAGAAACATAGTTATTTATACAATTTCAAAACCAGCTGTATCGACGATAAAATCCATTAATTGGTGCTGAAGGAAAAAAGGTATCAGTTACACAGTATCCAGAATAAATTTATACGTGATAAAAATATCTCTCTCTTAGATTTGATATAAACGGCACAATACGATTACCAAAATTACCTTCAGCTATCAAATAATCGTTGCAGCTATGCATAAAGAATTCTAAGAAGCTCTTTTAGTATCTCCTACAAAGTGTACATTAAAACAATCCACCATGGTATATAATGCAAAGTTTATGCAAAGTTCCTCTACACAAATATGCTCTAATGCCCCCTAACTTGTACAGTAAGTCTAAAATTCATTTAGACCGAGCTTACCGAAGTATAAAGACTCCTACCCATCTTTACAAAGGGCACTATATACACTCTTAAGGATACTGGTTTTCGACTACATCCCTCTACGTTCTTGTGGAATAATTAGTTTGGAGAAAGTGAATATTATGCCTGTTCTTCGAGTTATTAATCCATCGTTTTGATGAATTCAATTGCAGAGCAAAATTGAGTCCACCAGTATTGTTCTTCGCCTTCCAGGCGATTTCCATAGAAACTGTCCACGTATTGGATAGTCGACAAGAGAGAGGGTGGATTAGTCTGAAAAAAGAATCGCCCATATAATAATTCCCCAATTTCTCTACACAAAATCTTATTAATCATACACTACCTTTATAATGACGTACACAAGTATAGGAATTAAATCATCGGCTGCGGGTATTTCTCTTTCGGATGCCATTGACAGTAAATTCATAATTGTTGTGGCGCATCGAAATACACAATGAAGCTTGTCTCGGGGCGTTTTGTATGCTGATATCACAGCTAATTCCGCCTGCGCCCAAGGCCAAGGAGATTCATAATGATAAATCTTTCGAATGCGCAGATCTTTGTGATTGGGTGTCACCACTTTAGCCAATTTTTTAATGTGTTCATGTAACAGTTGATCTCTGTGAATATCACCATCGCCATTTGGATAGAGAGCGTTATGATAAACACGGGCCATAACCGTTCTTTCGACCACCGCTCTGCCTAATTCAAGTTGACTTTCACTTGCAACTGCAGACAAGAATAGTTTTAAATTATCAAACACAATTATCTATTGAGCATAATTTAAATTGTTATGTGAGATCAAGTTTAATATTCTAATCATATTTTATTATACGATTACCTTGCCAAATGGTATCGTTTTCCATTTCTGCATAAATCTTCCCTAAGAAAGTATCAACCAGATCCTGCTTTTCATCGGCCAAAGTGAGTTTTTTGAACTCCTCGCAGAAGCGCAACAGATTAGCTTCTCTCTTTTCCAAAAATACGCGAACGCACACGGAAACTAAGTGACTGTTCACAGCATCACGGTCGCACTTTACCCTCTCTTGTAACCTGAAGCATAGATTTTCAACAATTATTTACTGTAATTGCCAATAGGTATCACTTGAAAAATTTTTAAACATACTGAATAACAACAAAAAAATAGAAATGTGGATTACTCACCGATCCAAATGTGCCAGCGTAGATAGCAAACCTTGTCGACATCTAATTAAGTAAGCAATGTATGGTGATCTTTTCTGGTAATCATCTCGGAGAGATTTAAATAACTTTCTGGAGCCTTCGTCATTAAAAAGTCTGACACAACGTAACGTTTCATGAAGGTGAGCTATTAGTGCTCTATCCTGCAAATTAATAGCTTCGGCCAACTGAAGCTGTAGAAAAGCCACCAGTTCGTTTTCCTTCTGATTCCATGTATTTCGCTGTGGAATAATATTAATTTCAGTAACACTAGTCGTAAGTGTAAATATTGACAGATTTTGCGTCCTGTATGTATACTTACGTCAGATGCAGTGCTCCAAGGAATGTGTTGAAGATCAGCCGTACTAAGTACCATGCGTAATTTTCGTTTTGCATCCGCAAAAGCAAACGACATTTCAACGTTATTCGGATCTATGGTCAAACGTTCATCCTCTGCTTCTTTTGTTCGCGATTGGCTAGTCTCTACCGAAGCTGTGTCACTTGTTGTACTGGGCTTTCGCCGATACTTAGCCAAAATATCATCAGTGCTGTCTATAAATCACACAAATTAGTAAATTAATTATTCACAACATAATGTATTCTAATTTTTAATACCTTTTTTATCATTCATACTATTCCAGCAAATATTTATCCTGTAAAAATGTTAACTTACCACTGTTAATGCTTGTAGCGGATGTGTCCTCTGACATGATCCTTCGCAGTCTGTGTCTACCGATGTCAATTCCATCACCACCTGCTTCTCGATCATAACATCTATTGAGTTCATCCGTACCCCGTAATGCTTTGCCTCTACGGTTTCTCAATGACATTTTTATTTTTCCAAAGAAGCCCCGTTTGTTTTTCTGATCGTCATCTAGAAGTTCTTTGTCCCCACGTTCAGCAGTCATATCAAAGCTTATACTTTTTGGAATAGTGCCCGTTGATTGACTCGGTTTCGAATTGATAGAGTTCGCAGAATCTGTTACATCGCTACTGTTATTTGTTGTCGGCTGAGACATCTGTAGTTCTGGGGGAGATGTCACATTCTTTGTTCTTGGTTCGGAGCATGAGCTGCTGCTAGAAGTTAAACTAGCAGTGCTTAACCTCACTACTACATCACCAGTGGTATGCATACAGCTTTCCATTTCCTGCTAGAAAATATCATTTTTAAATTTGAAAATCTTCAAACTGAAATATAAAAAAAATACCTGATGTAGGATAGAAAATAATAAACCTAACCTCTCCTTTTACATCACCATTTGCCATCTTCTCAACGGGCAAACCAGGTGCAGAAATGTGATTTGCCAAGAGCAAAGCAGGCGCAACAGCGGCTGCTCCAACATGATTACTGTTCGTGTTTTGCCTCTCATTGTTACTCTTACCATTATCGATGTGCAGCTTGTCTATTAAATGCACTAATCTGTCTTCGCCGACCGACTTCCCATACTCCAGATTTCCAATATTGTTAGCATTGTTATCGACGTACTCCATTGTGTTGCGTCTGTAATCAGGTCTCGTCCCACCTCGACCAGTTACGTTTGATGCAGAAGGTGTGAAAGATGCTGTCGGTGAAGGAGGCACAGTTAAAGTAGGCCGACCAATGGGATCTTCGCGGATAGGTCGGAACAGAGATCCTGCACCATCGACTGCTACTTCTGTATGAGATAATAATTTTCACACATCACAAATATAGTTATAAACGGTCCGACATAAAAAATTTCTTACGAGGATTCACAGGTGGTGGAGTGTCTTCTCCTCCTTCGGGTTCTCCACGACTTTCAACTTCAATTTCGGATCTTGCAGTATCATCAGACCTAAGGTAATGGAGGGCAAAATGCTTAATCTCTTAATTTACATTAAATATTAATACGTCAATGCAGATCTTCTTACCTAGCAACACTTGCTGTATCATCGGTGTCCACTTCCGTTAATCTTTCAGAGTCACTGGCTAGCACATCAGTACTCCATGCTTCCGATGCAGTTTCACTGACATCTAGCATTCCTTGAGGAGGCTCTGAGGGTAAAACTGGTGGTGTTTGTTCAGGAGGTGGAGGAAATGGAAAACGTTCTTGCTGTTCAACTATTTCACTGTCCGAAGCCAAGACATCGGTAGACCATGTGTCGGAGACCAATGAAACAGTCTCATCTAGAATGGTATTGATTAACACTCTCGAATAAATATTTCATTCAGCAATAATACCTTCAATAAGTTTCTTGATTTCAAATTTGCAAAACTTGTCGTCTATTTCAGAACGGCTTTGTTTAGTCGGTATGGTAGGAGGAGGCAAGTCCATTTGCCTTCCCTCCCCGGCAGCTCTACCATCATCTCCCTCTGTAATTTGCGACGATGGTGTATCACGACCTGTAAATAAACGTAAGTATCATAGCGAGAGATATAAGTAGATGAACTCAAGTTGTACATGGATTTGTAAGTTCACGAATAATTATAATGAACCTGAAATGTTTGGTGTTCCTCTTCCAGATACATTTGCGGACACCATGTCCGATAGATTATCATTCTGATCCTCTGTTTCTAGTTCCAAAGAAGATGCAACACTGTGGTTCGAAGCAGCCTCTGACACAGCTTCCAAATTGTCCGATGTATTTCCAATTGATCCTTCAAAAAATACTAATCAGATTAGTGTAAGGGGGTTGTCTGTCACAGATGAATGTTTTGTAGCCAGTTCAGTTTTAATTAAAACGCACAGCGTTATCATTTATCGTCTTATACTGATTAATTATGAAAATTATATTTTTGTAAATAATCATTACCTTCATCATGAGATAAGGAAAAGCGAGTTCTTTTTTCCTGCGTTTCAATCCGTTCTATCCCGCTTGCATCACGTCGATCATGACCATTTGGCAGATCATGCGGAAGATCCAGAGTTACTGGACTGGTAATATCATTTTGTATTGCCATACACAAAACCTTGACAAAAAAGTAGAATTAATAAATGACTTACCATAATGTACTATTAATCAAGGGCTCGGTATAATTATATCTATAATACAATATTAATTTACTTTTTGTTCACTGAGAAGACCTACTGATTCACTGATCGTAGGACCGAAAGGAATTACAAGAACATCTTGAGCAGTCTTATCTAAAAGATCATCTTCAGGACCTGAAGCTCCATTTATTTCATCTCCACCCTCTACAGCATTTGATGAAGATGAAGGAGTACGATTATTACGTCCTCGTGCAACTAATATAAAATAATTTTACACTTTTGCGTTGTACAGATCATGAAATTGCTTAAATTAAAAAATATATATTTTCAAATTTAAACCAGTTTATTAAAAATACCTTTGCCCAGAAGTCCTCCCCGTTTGCTTGGAGTTTCCGGAGACACATTATTGATGACTTTGTTAGTACTCAGTGGTCCAGGAGGTAATTGCGAAAGCATTTCGTTCAACTCTTTTTTATCAACTGTACCTGGTGGTACAATACTGTCTCCGCGACTATCATTGCTTACTGTTTGGAGAAATGTTATTAAACAGTTCAATTCATTTTCTGTAAATAAAGCTGCAGAACGCGAGAGACCCTGTAATTTACTGCTATCGATAATTGTAGGCTCTTCATCGAGTTCATCGGTAGCCCCTTCTAACATTGTGTCCAGAATGGAGGATACTGAATCTTTTTCGAATCGTCTATACAGATCGATTACCTTGCTATCGACATTTTGATATTTCATAAGTGACAACATTTGCAGGATCTGGCCAACTTGCATGAGATTAAACCTTGCAACGTAGCTAATTGGTGCATCGGTAATACCATAAGGTTCCGGGTTAACTATCGCAGGGCATACAAAGTATGTGAATACGAGATCCGTACACATAGCATGTACCTCCTTTGGATCTACGTTTCCATTTTTATTCAACAATCCTGCCATTTGTCTAACCAACCAGCAGACACTAGTTGGAAAACAATGCATATTTTCCCGAATGCTTACAATGAATCTTTGGGTAATGCGTACCAATGATTTAATCGTCCATAACCTATAACGCTGTAATTTTGCTTGGTACTCTGGTGTACCTTCCTTCCCGAACTTGTTCAGTCTCTCTGCTGGAGGAAACCTTATTGCAGCTTTGTCCGGATCGATATCCAAAAACATTTCATCTTCCATCAAGAGTTGCATGATAGGTCCATGTAAAGCGGCAGTTAAAAATAATTTTGCCGAAAACAGACTCTCATGAAACACTGAATAAAATCTTGAAAAGGCACAGGTGCCATGTCTGAGCAATCTTCGAGGATTATCCGATGGTATAATTTGCAAGAACATTAAATGTTGGAGCAGTCTTAAAACCAGAATCTTATCTTCTGGTAATAAACAACTACCAAACAATCCAGCTGCTAAAGACTGAATCACACTTTGCATAATCTCAGGTGCAACCCTATCACCTTCCACTAAACAGGAAGCGAGAAGTTTGGTAGACTTTCGCAGACTGCCTAAAAATTCTCCATATGCGAGACACGTCTGATATCTTAAGTGTTTATAAGCATCGACAAAATGAGAATTTTCAAGAGTATTGGCTCTTTGACAGCATGATGCAGGGGTGCAATCTGGCCTAGCTACGATCAGCCGATTTAAATTTACTCTTTGCTGAGCGGTAACCCAAGCCTGCTGAGCTAAATCTGATGATATATACAGAACCTGGAGAAAAAGAAACACATTGATATTTTCCATTCATTTTTCTGCTCAAGCTAATAAAAGTAAAAACATTTGTCTCTAATTAACAGACCCACAATTTAGTTATCTGCTCTTGCAAGATAGTTATATCTTGTAATTACATTGAGTCAGCAGATACCAATACTGTACGATTGCTCAAACATTTTAGTGAAGAGTGGAAACATTTTTACTGGACTGCAGAAATCTGTCCATTAATATTAAATAGCCAGATAATGTCAAATGATGATCAATATATACAAATAAAACTTATATTTATCATACAAGGATTTAATGAGAGGTTCAACAATATTTGTTGGTGTTGTCACTTATTTTTTTTGCTCCCTATATAAATTACTTTTAATAATGCCAATTTCCCTGCTGTGCATTGTAGCAAATTTTATATACAGCAGTAGCTTCAGTTGTAGTCCACCATATTATTGGCCATTATTAACAAAAGACTTAATTTAAAAGTTTAGGAAGCTGGTACATATCATGAAATAGCTATCATAGCATAAGGCATTTCAAATATTAATAGAAAATACCTTTTCATTAAGAGTTCGTAAATTTTGCTGTTCGGACGTAACAAACAAACGTTCTTGTCTAAGATGTCCAGCTAATTCGATCATATCCCACTGCAGTGTCCCAATGGACTCTCCACTATTTATTGAAGACATACCTACAATAAAAAAATCAGTTATAAACAACTTTAACGCTTCGAATAACTGATCCAGCATTCAGAAAGTATTATTTTTATTATCAAATAAGCAAGAAACAATACACAATAACTAAAAAATAATCTCTGAAGACATTGCACATAACTGCATTCAAGTTAATAAATGGGTCAATCGAGCCTATTACATCACTTGCAAATATTCGCTAAGCATTTCTTTTTGCTTTGTGTACAATGTCCAAACGCTAATTACCATGACAAAGAGTACTTTGTAATTTAGGTCTTGACGCACTAATAGAACTGATTCATTTGTGTAATGGGTAACCTTGGACACTGACAAAGAAATGTCAGATGACAATATTTTCTAAATTTTTACGCTCGTACGATCGGCACGATTTTGTGAAACTCGCCCACGATACGTGGGTATATTCAACTGCAAAACTTAAAATCAGAAAAAGAAAACACCTATATAATCGATGCGATTAAAAGACAGTAAACACGATACGGCTGTCGTTCAGAGGTATTGGCAATTTAAGTCACCTGATGACGTTTGCTACAAAAGTTACCTTTAATTTGACAGATTAGAGATTTCTCTTAATTCCCGAAAAGTCAAAATTTATTTGATTACGTACCTACACTTGCGTGTAGAAGGCGACAGAAGGGAAACGCTTTGTTATTGTACTTTATTCCTTACAGAAACACCCCCATTAGATGTGCAACCATTTTCTATTTGAGGTTAGAATTTTTCTCCAGAAATGGCCGTAGGCGTTCCGACATGGAATAATGGAATGTAGATCGAGCTCGCACTCGTTGTTTGTGTTCATGCACCTATTCGTGCTCGTATTCGTTGCAATATCTTGTCCAAAAGTATTTTTCCGGATCGGGGGAAATAAGTATATCTTTGAGAACAAGTTTCAATATTAAATCTTCATTAAATATTAAACCAAAATATTCGCAGAAGAAAAAGCACACGTCTTATCTACAGTTAGTGACTACTCTGAATAAAAATAAAAATCTATTTATGGAGGCGAGGATGGCCATCTCGTGATTATATAGTTCGCGCCTAAATCGTTCTAATGGGATTTTATTTAAAATAAGTAATTATATCTTTTGTGTACTTACATTTTAATTGTTATGTTGCACATGATTTATTTAATATCACCGTAAGAGGTATGCGACAATTAATGTTGAGTTACACATTTGTAAACGATTTCATTAGAAAAATATCTTTATTTATATATGTTTTTACAGATAATGCTCAATGGAATCCCATAAACAAGTAGAGTCGGGTTTGCAATTGCTAGCCAGACTTTGCCACCGACCATCATTGCAAGGCTTAAATAGTATTTTGTTTTCCAATGGTCCACATTCTAGTGAAATAATAGAAATTAGTGGTAACGTATCTAGTGGGAAAACTCTTCTTTTAACAACATTACTGTCTAAATCTGTCTTACCGTTAAAATACCAGGAAATTGACGTAAAAGGATTTGAAGTACATGTTATACTTATTAACACTGATCATCATTTCCAAGTCTCAAAAATAGCCAATATATTGCTTGGACATCTAAAGAAAGCATGTAAATTAAGTAATGCAGTTCTAGGGAATGAAGAGTTAGAAAGTATAGTTAATAGTTCATTGAATCGCTTAATAATCATTAATTGTTACAACCGTGACCAGTTCTTTTTAAGTATACAATCCTTGGAAAGTATTTTGATATCTAATGAAAAAATAAGTCTCATTGCAATTGATAGTCTTTCAGCATTCTATTGGGAAGATAGGGAAAGTGGAGGGATTTGGATGATGGATTTATATATAAAACATCTCCTATTGTTAATACAAAAGAATGTTTCCCACTTTAATATTGTAACAATTTATACAAGGCCTAGTAGTTTTTTAACAAAGGGAAGAGATACGGATGACCGTGCAGTTGCACCTCCTATGCAAAAGTTACACTACAAAATTCAACTTCACAGGCAAGAGAATTGTAATACATTTTTTGCTATAGTAGAGTTTGCTAAAACTAAGAAAAAAGTTGCCTATGTAATAGAAGCAGATGATATAAAATGGATGGAAGAAAAGGAACCAGCATAAACAGAAAAATGATCTATGTTAAGAAGTCAACGTGGATAACAAAACTTTATCTGTTACATTTAAAGGATTTAATAATCTAGATCCTGCTAATATTATCCTTGGATTATTAATATTCCGAGAAGAAATATCATTAATAATCCTAGCTTCATCTGCTGTTACTCCACCAACTACATAAATAATTATTAGTGGATTGTCACCTGGATGGCGTTTGGTTTTTCCTTTCCGAAATAAACTGCAACAGATAGGATCCGTTCATTAATATTTAACATTTTAGTTTGTAACTAAATATCCTTAACTTCTACATGCTTGAAAAAGGATAATTCTTACTTAAATCCAGTTGACATGAAAGAAGATGCTTTCTGTTGTAAGTCAGGAATCTCTGGTCTGTTTGGGTGCAGCAAATCTCTGATTAAGCATTCTAATAGTCCAGTGTACTGTGCCAGCTCTTGAGCGCTTGGTTTTGTTATTAGACATCTTTAAAAAGAATTACATTTTTGTTATATATTTTACATTAACATTTATATTATGAGTTATTGGAAGAACGTACCTGTAGTTTTCTAAACTTGCTCTCTGTTGCGCTATAGCATGCAACGTATCTATGATTCGTTGTGCAATGTCTTCTGCATCTTCTTTTGCTTTATCATCACTAGTGACACCTTAATTATAGTGGTAAAATATTTGTAAGTTATGTTTATTATGTTTCATATTTTTTTTCAAGTATTAACATTAAGTGTAATTTAAATACCTAAGAGAAGCAAAGTTTGATAATAAATTGACATCTCATGACCAGGTGTAGTCTCGTTGCATTTTTTTATATCTTCATAAATAGCATCTTTAAGAGCTTCATTTAAATGTTCTTCTTGTTGCGCAGAAAAGTTTATTTCTGTTCCAGCAAGAGAGAAAATATGTATCAATAATATAAGTAGATTCTCCATGTCGAGTCCCCGAGTACAGCGATTCTTTATAATGTTACTTAGCTGTACAAATAATTTCAATTTTTACATTTTCTTTAAATTCATTTCACCAGACAAAGGTGACATATTCTCAATAAATACATACCTGTGCAAGTACACTCGAAGAATCACGACTTACAGCCAAATTTTGTAATATTAATTTTTCCAGACTAATTAACAACTCTAACTGAGGCGTCTTTTCAGATTTTAGGGCTTGGATCACTGCCATGATAATCTGAGACAAATTAACTGAATCAGTGGCATATGAATAATGTTGTGGAAAATCACATTGGGCAAATCTATAAATCATATTTTCTAATTACCTGGATTTTTTTACTAAATCTTGTCAAAGATTCAATACCTTCACTGTCTCGCAATTTATGTAAAAGCTTTTCCAAGGTATAAACTGTGATTCTTGTCCCAAATTTTGCTTTTGGACTTACTTTCAATACTGTCATATCCATAAGTAATTGATTAAATTTTAGTAGAACCATTTTTTGTTTCTCACTAATTAAAAGTTTAATCAAACTCGGATCATCGGTTGCTAAGCACCCAGGTACTAATGCAGAGGCCTGGGTCTCTTGCAGCTATAATAAATATACAAGTTGAAAGAAATCTAACAAATATATTCTACACATAACAGTATGTGAAAACAATTACACTACACCTCCGTTTCTGCGCAAATTGGAGCCATATTTATTGCAACATCATTATAGTGATGGGGTAGACGAGGCAAAGTTGTAAGTATCCTTGCCAGTACACATTCAGTGTTTTGGCTAGTTGCTTTACACAAGTCTAAAGTACGATCTAACAAGATTAACGAAACATTTGATGGTCCAAATAAACGCTAGAACAAGTTGATAACTTTTTTTAATATGGGCACCATGGGGTTAATAAATTAAAAAGGACAGTTATACTTACTTTTCTTCTATCAATGGCAGCAGGTAAGTTTTCCAACTTCTCTGCGATATACTCACTGAATTTACCAATTGAGTAAATATCTTCTTTTAAATTGAAGTGAGTAAATAAACTGTGTAATGAGCTCACCAAAAATGTTAGATCTATTTCTTGGTCTTGGCTTATTTGTTCATCAAAATTAGGCATCATATCACCAAATGGAGGTGTTGTAAATAAATCTTGATCAATACAAGCAGTGAAAACTGGCCTAAATATTACATCTACATGAGGTTCCTATGAACAAAACAATATTTATAAATTTTGAAATTAAAGTTCTTATTAATATGTATAAATTTAACTACTCATTATATAAAATCGTTTACATGTGTACCTTTGCAGGATTTCTAGTACTCATCCAATTTAATACATCTTCTTTTAATTTGTTATAACTACTTTCCTCCTCAACTGGAAATATCGAAGCGTAATTTAAAATACCGTAATGAACTGCACATATAATTATACAGCTTTCAAAGGTATTTTTTTCTATAATCATTTTTAATGTCCGCTGATAAAATATTGGGTCAGCGGAAGTATATATTATTACAGCTTTCTTTGTACCCTTCACTCTGACATACTGAAAATAAGAACTACACGTAACAAACATCAAGGATTTACATTAATATCATAAAAGGCTTACTCGGAAGTTATACATAGCCAAATCATGAACAGAAACAGCTCCTGCATTTATCAATGCAGTATATGCCTTATCACGCGTGAACCAATGAAGACACTCAGCTGCGGCATGATCAATATAAACTGCGGCACCATGTGCTACAGAAAAAATGTCTTTCCAACAAGCACTTGCAAATTCTTGCAGATCGATGCTGTTACTCATGATTAACTGAAATCAAAATTTAATGTCCCCTTATTAAGCAAATATCACAATTAACATATATTAGATAATAATTTAAAATTATTAACATAGAAAACATATAGATAACATACAAACGTTTAACTAAAACAATTACTATAAGTATGAATAGCAATCGGTTAATTCCGATATTTCGATCATATTTTAGCTCACTATGCAATAATAAACAAGGAGTATAACAGAGTAATAATCAGAGTTGAGTTGGGAGATTGCTCACGGGCAGGGTCGCGCGATCGCATCCTGTGCTGCCCTCTGATTTCGTAAAACAGCTTTCACCGTTTTTTGCCCCCAAGGGCGACGCAACGAATTTCTGGTAGAGGCACACGCACTCGAGATGGCGGTGCCACCTACCAATAGCCATTGGCGGCTTGCGTACCATGCGTAATGCCATGGGCATTACGCATAAGTAGATAGAAGCAATAAGTAGATAAAGTCAAATGGAGCGTCACGAGTGTTCTTCCCTTACCATCAAAAGCGAGCAGTGTTGGTAAGCGTAGGAATGCCACCACCGTCAACTGCCGCATGGTATTACCATCATGAGTACGTGAGTCGCCAACGGCGACTGGTAGGTGGTACCGCCATCGCGAGTGCGAGAGCTCCTATCAGAAATTCGTTGCGCCGCCTTTGGGGGCAAAAAACGGTGAAAGCTGTTTTACGAAACCAGAGGGCAGCGATCACACGATCCTGCCCGTGAGCAATCTCTCAACTCATCTCTGTCTCCCAACTCATCTCTGGTTTTACCAGTAACATTGGCGTAAAACAGCGTCTACACGAAGCTTAACCTCACAGTTATAAAACCGGTGTAAGGTAGCATGTGTAAATATGCTCAAATGATCCCATATGTTCTTTGTCGGAACAGCTTAAACAAACTCATTAAATGATTATCAGAGAAGGAAGGTAATGAACAATTAAGGTATATACATTTTGTAAATATCGCACTGGTCAAAGATTATTCAGTTCAGTCTAGATTAGTGCAGACTGATACATTTCTATATATTAAAATATTCCAAATAATAATAGGCTCTGATCTTAGCATATGCATACGTAAACGAGATTTGAGTAGCTTTCCGAGCAAACAGGGGGAAACATGTAATTCTTGTCTATCTACTTGAATATGAAGCAATACGCATACGCGCGTATGCACGTATATATGTACATACAGATTTGTCATGTCGGCATCGATTAGGCACAAGCACTGAAGTGTCAATCAGTGTCAATTGAAAAGTATTGAAAGCATTGTTATAAAACGTGTTTCCCATTAGTTTCATTAATACACTTATTCTTAATATCTGATTTTGAACATATTTTGTAATTCGTAGTTGCAAAGAATTCCATTGACCAACCTCTCAATCCAATATTACTCGCATACATTTAATATTTATAACCTCATTGTTGAGTCAAAAGTGAACGAATTAGGGGTATTAGATGAAACATCAGTTTATCTTAAAAGTAAAATTAACGTTTCGAGGGTTTTGTAGGTTCTTGTATTTAATAATTATTTGTATCAATGTCTTGCACGTGCTATCATTTAAGAGCAGCTATCAGTTACTGCCAAACTTATACTATCACTTAAGAAAATGCGTCAATGGCCGAGCTTATTTATAGAAGCTAATTCTTTTAGAGTCATTGCCAACTATTTCAACTTTAGAAGTTCGTGCGCATTGATCTAAGCTTCCAAATACCGCATTGATTGAAAAGTCTATAAATGTAATATGAGACATGCATCTTTTTTTTATGCACATGTTTAATGTAAATTATTTCAACATTTACATGTATAGGTGATGCAGACGGATGGTAATATAGAGTTCTATGCTCTCATTTATACTAAAGCATTTAGACTAGAAAGTGAAGTTCTTAAAGATTCCAAAATATTGTGATCCGGACATCATGTCACCAGGAGTTAATGACAGTACTCGTAATACCGGTACCATTCCAAAAAGTAATCGAAGAAACGACAGAAATAGAGAACGATCTGCTGCAAATCAGCAGGTTACTGGAAAACATGTTCTCAGAAGTTACTATTCACAACATCCAAATAATTTGGTAAAATTTCTTTTGATTAATAATATACCTCTTAAGAATAAACATATAATTATATTTTTCCTCTTTTAAGTTATACATTTCAATAACTTAAGAAATATACTTTTTATAATAATAGAAATGGAGTATGTGTAAGGATTTTATTGTAACTGTATTTAGTATGGGACTAGGAAACATTTTACTAACTGTCGTGGCATAAGACGCTCTCGTTTAGGACTCAGGCAACTATTAATAGATATTGGAACAGTGGGGAGACTTCCTTTCTAAGAATACATGATCAGAGACTTCTGTTCTTGTATTGAAATTCTAGAAGCTGGCCTCTTACTTGGTTCGGTTAATTTGGACGGCTTACAGTTAGCCAGAGTTGAATTACAAATATCAAGATTATTATTTTCATGTTAGTTATTACTATAAGTGAAGTGAGGTGTATTACCAGGAGAAGTGAAATAAATGAAAATATCTTTAAGTTATGACTCTGTTTAACTTCAGGTACAGCTTGACTGGCAACCAGTAAGTGATCGTGAACCTAGCAGAATCACGAAAAATAGTAATACTCAATCGACCACATCTGCCCCATCATTTTTTCATCACGACATTTTTGATACTGGTATGTGCAGTATATAGTTTAATGCATGCAATAGATGAGTAATAATTATACCGTGATTTGTAGCATCTGAAAACACCAGTTGGCAACAGAATTATTTTGCAGAGAATTGTACGTTGTGGCAAAGGATGGTTCCACCAATTGATTCACAAACTCAGTCACCGCAGCCTCCTCCGAGCACTAAACCTACTAACATTGATAAAATGGTACATACCAGAAAAAATCTTTAAAAAATGATTAATATATGTACAATTTTATCGGTCATTTCGAAAGAAGATTTATAAAGATAACAATCAATATTATGTATTGCAGCCAGACAGAAGAGAAGTTGAGAGTTGCTTAAATCAAATCCGTGACTATATCAGAGTTACAGCCACAATGATGGATTCGCTTAACCACTCTTCGGATCCGGTAAGTATAACAGGTTAGAAGTAATTGCTAAAAACCCAAGTTTCATCAAACAACACTTAAAGAAATATGCTACAGCTTGCCCGAGCTCAGCATGAAAAGTTATCCGGAATGGTGGAAGATCTCTATGACAGTGAGACAAAATTGGCCAATCTCTTGGAAAACTACCACAAACGTGGAAATCCCGATAAGGTTAATTTTACTTTTGATTACATCAATATGTTGCTAATATTTAACAAGCATGCCTTTTTAGTCCAGAGGCCATGTGGAGCAACAATCTGACCAGATGCGTCGGTTCACGGAACTCTTGGATATCTTAAGCACCCAAGAACAATTTTTCCCTACTAACACTAACCACAGGGTGCGTTCTAATGAAGACAAAACCTCTTCCAGCGTCTACTGTCATTTTTTACTTATTAACGATTAACTGAGTTAGTATAGCAATATATGTTTGATGTCCAAAAAATATAAACTTTTCTTATTTAGAATGGTGAGCATGACGGAGAAGTTAGCTGTGACGTCGACAACGGTGCTAGAGAGGCAGAGCTTCGTAGGAAAGTGGAGGAATCACAACAGAAGCTGGCCCAACTTCAGGAACAGCAAGCCAATTTAGTAGGAATGCAGCTGCGTGCAAGAGAACGATTAAATGCAGCTCGGCAGGCCCAGCAAGCTTTGCTGCAGCAAGAAAATTCCGCATCAACTTCCTGGGAAGATGGTAATTGTCTGGTACAGCAATCAGCAACCGAACAACTTGAATCTGAAACTGCAGCCCTACGGGGAAAGCTAGTAGAACTACAGCACAAGAAAAAACGCATGGATCACCTCGTGGCGGAACTTCAGGCAGTGGATTTATCCGATAGAGTTAGCTGTGTGAGTGTAACGATTTTATCCTTTAAGGGAATGTGAAAGGGTCATTTGAAATATCAATCGTTCGTAAAACTTTTCTCCGAACTGGGTGTATCGAATCGTTTCAAATGTTACAACGTGAATTTGTAGACTATAAGGAACGTCCTGACACTAATGAAATTTCATTTTTTATAACAAATTTAAAAAATATCCAGTAACAAATTTGAAAAAAAATTGAAATTTGATGAGTTTCGGGACCTTTCTTATACCCTCCATATTTATAATGTAAAGTTTGAATTGATTCAGTATACTCAGTGTGGAGAAAAGTTTCATAAATGAGATCTCTTTGACACCACTTTCACATCACGTTAACGGTTGGTTTGAAATATTTCTCTATTTGTCTTTGAGTGCCCCTCTAATCAATTAACTTTATCCAGAGTTCCGATAGTTCGCGCAATGTTGGAAGAGATAAAGTAGCCGAACTGGACGCTATGAAGGCACAATTGGCACATTTAAAAGCTTTAATGGAAGAGGCCACGCGAGCACGCGAATCCTTAGAATCCGCACCTGAACTAGAATCAGAGGAGGACATAATGGCTAACGATGGTGACGAAACTGAGGCGGCGAAGGAAGACGCACTCTGCAGCTCCCTATGCAATACATTAGATCGCCGAGCTGACAACGACGTCAGCGCGCATCTTGAGAAAAGTAGAAATTCGACTGCTCGGCCAACGGTTGAGCAAGTCCAGGTATTATCAACGTTACAATTTTCGATTTTACAACGTTTACACTGAATTGCATGAGAGTGCTTAATGTCTTATCTAAAGAAGATCAATCCTACCACATTGACAATTTTTTGCAAATACGCAGCTACTAAAAAAAGCTACCATAGGTTAAAAGTTAGTCCTATGAAAATAGAATAAAATTGTTCGGATTAACAAATTGATGAAGAAATCGTTCTGCAATGGCCGTAGTAAGCAGAAGGATTATTTCTTTAATCGTTTTACATTATATGGATTGCAATTCAATAATTAGCAAATTCAGATGTAATTATTTATACGTTCATCGCGTGGTCAAGTTCAGTCAATAAGCCAGAAAAATGTAGAAGCACTTGATTTATTCAGTTACTTATACAATTAGAAATGACATATAGTGCAAATAGTTGCCTAGAAAAATATTATCTCCTTTCTTAGGCTGTTACTAAAGAACTGAAGGAACAATCGGCTTTACTGCAGACGACACGTGCTGCGCTACATCGTTTGAAGCAAACCTCTACTGCGATTTCTACCGCTCCCTCCAACCCTATGCCTTTGCCTCCAGTTTCGACACCACCCTCATCACTCATAGGCATGTCTGGGTCTGATAAGAAGCGAAGTAACAATAGCGGTAGTAACACTAACAGCTGCTCCAGTGATCCACAGCAAACTCAAACAAAACCATGCCACATAGACGATGTAATGAGGAAGGTTAATCTGAAGTTTCAATTAAATCCGTCAATATTCTAACATTCATCTGTGATGATAACAAATATTGTGTATGCTACTAATTCGTAATTTACAGGAACAGGGCCGTTCATCCTGCAATAGAGATTTAGGTGGAAGTGATTGGGATAGTCGTAGAGGTTCCAATTCTCATCTTAGTCATACCAGTACACCTGCAAATATCTGGCCACAGCAAATCTCCACAGTCCGTGGTCAGTTTCTACTACTATCATTAGTGAAAAAAATCTGTAGCAATGAAATAGGAATAATGTAATTTTAATCGCATTCAGGAGGTTCAAATGAACACAGCGTAGATGGAATTTCTTCCTCCGATCAGTTATTGGATATTGGTCCACAAACCTCTGCAATAGAAAATGGGTTCGGTGGGAATTGGTGGGGATTGCCACCACCGCCTTTAAATCAACCTACTAATGGTAATCACTTACTTAAATATGAATAGTATTATGGTTATCGATTGGTTATACAATTCTCCAAAGTTATCACTACTCTCTTTGTCAGGTGTCTACAATTTTGTTAATTACTGACTCTTTTAAATCTTTGACTTGATTTACCGTATCTTGTAAATACGTTTTGATATTTTGGGAAAGATACTAAGCAAAGAGAAAATTACCGCGTGTTACAGTGGGACCCAATTCGACCGAATACTATCGTCAGCTGTTATTAGGATCGCAATCTCAACAACTTCAGATGATGGGGACAACGATTCAGCAGTGCTGCCAATTGTTATGGGCCCAGCAACGCGAGCTACAAACAATGCGGAGCGCGATTGTGCAGCTTCAGACACAGTTGAGACAGTCACAACAGCTACCACGAATTGACCCTGCCGACGTCCACGAGGAATATTCAAATTTGAGTCGCACAAGTCACCAGTTGGGAAATTCATTAGACGCAACATTGCCGCCCAGTTCATCTCTACCGAATCTCGTTTCGCTGCCCAAGTCTTCGTCTGTTCCATCGCACGGACCCGTCATCTCTGCACTATCTATTCCGCAGCAACAGCAGCAGCAGCAGCAGCAGCAACAGCAGCAGCAGCAGCAGCAGCAACAGCAACAATTGAACAATCAAGTGCCACCTGGGAATAGAGCAAACAACTATTGGGATAATTTCAGAAGGTAATGTCAATCAGTCAGTGGATTGAGCCGATTGGATGATGAACAAAAAAAATATTATCTGAACAAGCGAAAAGCTACTTGTTTTCATTAAAATATCCTTGAAGAAGCAGAACTGAACAGATGCCCGTGAAAACGGGGTTTATAAATTTATTGTTGAAAATAGTATAAACGACCAACTGTGTATTTGAATGTTGGTTGTAATACGGTTTTTAATCACGTAACTTTTCTTAGAAGTGACTTAGAAGCGATCGCCTTTACCGTCTTCCAATTCGGTGTAATCCCAATGTATTGTGAGGATGAATAAAAATTCAGGACCTGTCTTTGCACTTCCCATTGCATTTTTTTCTATTCATTTTCACCCCCTTGTGCAAAGCTGCAAGTCTGCACAGAAAGCTCGTATCGATTTTGGTCGTGTAATCTTGTGGTTAACCGGAGTGAGACTAAATGTGGAAAATAGGTTGGTAGGTACTTTTTAGGTATGTAATTACAGGATGCCAAGAAATGCATTTGATCCTCACGTTTTCTCTTCTACTTCATGTGTGATCTCATTATATTTTAATACTAACCAAACTTGCACGTCCAAATTGAATTTCCAAATTAAATCAGAGTGTCGTTTGTGGTACTGAAATCTCAAATTATAATTACCATTAATAACTTATCAAATATGAAGTCACTTATCGAATAGGTTGTGCTATTGGCATGGAATGTATTTGCACTGACAATGAAAAAAATGTCATGCGGTGTAATATTATAATAAGATTGTTTCGACTTTTTCAGCTACTCCAGGCAAAATCTATTGTCAGGAAATGTTAAATCAACGTCCGAATGCACCGCACCAATACCAGCAGCTAATACCAGCACTCCAGCTAATACTGTCACTGGCGGTGTTAACAGTTCTCTTGTGTACGCAAAGTATATTAATCAACCATTCTACTTGCACAATCCTCTTAGCTTCCGTTTGTTTTAAATTCATTTAAATCCTCCTTCGATAATGCTTAATTGAACAACTTTTGCTTACAAACAAAAGGAGATAGTTTTAACGAGGTGAACCATCAGTTTTTAGAAAATATTTTTCTAACCTCTCGGTTCTACATCCTTTGCGTGGAATTTATTTAATTAACTAAAAATTTAATTCCTTTTCAGAAGAGATAAACGAAACCGAGATGAAGGACTAGACAATCTGCGATTGCCATCATTATCAGATGCAGAGTATTCCCTGAATCTTCAGTTGCAGTCGAATTTGCAATCGCACGAAAGAGAAGCAACCGTTGTGAGGAGCAACATTTTGTCTAATGAGACATCTCAACAACAGACTGATCATAATTGGGATGAAGCACATTCTTCCTTTCGATCACTGCCAGGCAGCTCCGATGAGTATAACTCCTTCATTAAACACCTCAGGTTTCTATCACTTTTGTGAATAATTTTAACGAGTATCTGCAATAAGTTAATAAGTTTTATTTTAATTATGCCGTAGCGGTGAAATAAGAGATTTATTTGGCTCGTTGGTAACTGCAAATAGGAAGAGCCCTGATTACTTGATAATGATTTTAAGAGAAATAAAAGCAATCAGCGAAGACCGTACACTACGACCACGTTTGTTGCGATCTCTTCGAGCGATACAAGATTCACAGGCGACGAACAATCCTTTGGTATTTACTTTAAATAGTTTTACATTGTACAACTGTTGATCGATCCGTTGACACTTTTCATCCTTCGGTCACAATATAAGTAACAATGTATCCTGCAAGTCTGATGGGAATATTTTCTGTACTAAAGGGAATTAAGGTTCTAATAAAACGAAACTGTTGCAGAATGAAACGACTGATCAGACGGCGAGTGAAAGCTGTCAGTCCAGTGATGAGGAATCCGATGCAGGTGCTCAAGCAAGTGCCCTAGTAAACTCCAAAGGAGAACATCAATCTTTGCTGCTAGAAATGTGTATGCCACTTTATCCACCTCTTTCGATAGGACCAGTACCACTGGTAGATTATTCCGACAATGCGGTAAGTCGCACTATTCAATTACTGAAATGTCAAATAACGTATCTACAACAAGCGTTGGATTATCACTTCACAGGCAGCACTACCTTTTGGAAATTTGAGCACTGCTCCTTCTGCATCTTCACTCACTCCGGGATACAATGAGGATTTAGCAGAAGCTGATCAATCTAGGCCCGAAACATCTAGCAATCAACAACAGGTAGCACTTTTTGCCCCATGACACTTTATTTAAAAATGAAGTTAAGAAAATTAGTGTAAGATTTAAACCAATTTTATCTATCGTTAGATTTTTGATGACGAAGCAAACAATGATGGTGACGAAGACAGGGACCCAATATTACATGCCTCTGTTCCACAAATTTCTGCCGATCTGGACACTACTCCCGAACAAGAAAATGCCAGAGAAGAAGGAGCAAGGACCGAGGACAGCTCCGGAGGCGGATGGTATTCCTGCTAAGGTAATTCTGCCTCAGCAGCGTTAATCCATATGCTTAAGTTTTAAATACGTTACATTAAAATTAAAGTCTACAAGATGTGTCAAACTGAAGTATCATATTTACGTTAATATTATATTTTCCGTTTAAGTACATGCTTCATCTTCATGTTGTAACCTTCTCGATACAAAGATTTCAGGTTCTTCCACTGGCTGTTGTTTGTTTTCAAGATGGTTAACACGAACGAGCAAGTGGAACTAATTTAATCTTTAATAAGTTCAGAAACGTGGTTAATGGTGAACATATTGGAACATAACTATTTGGAACGACGAGTTTCTCAATCAACTGTATGTTTGAGGAAACCTATATTTGTTCCATACTACATTTTTTACATACTAGTTTTTGATGAATGATAGATCTCACGAAACGCATATTGTGAGACTACTTGTGTTTGCTTCAACAAAGGACTTGTTTTTTAATATAATCACATATTTAAGTAGAATCGCGTGTGAACGCGTCGTGATAATTTATGCTTTTTAAACCTTTCAATGGTGTAATAATTAATTCTATATGAGTAAAAATAAATACCCCAATTGAAGAAAATATATGCGTTAAAGAATTGATTCCTTGGATGCTTCTTCTATTGTAAAGCCTTTATCATAAAACAAAATAATTCAAATATGGCTGCAATTGGAGCTGAGAGAAATTCGTGCATGACTTAAGGCACAAACACAACGAGAAATGACTAACCTTCTAAAGAGATTAAGACACTGCGATTTACATAGAAAAGTAAATATTTATTTATCTCGCACACACACCCAACAAAGTCATACTTAAGTATTAGTTTTTACATGAACGTAATTATAAATGCGTATCGAGCGGTACGCTTTTCCATATAAACGGAGGTTATAAAGCGTGGTCCATTCTAGTCGAAATCTAAAACAGTGAGAGTTCAAACTGTCATCCCACATTCGATTAGAACTCTGCTTCAATAGTGCCTTCTAGTGGCTGTTGACGGTGCAGGTGATAAGAAGAACACCCATGGGTTTCCAACAACATTCTCTCGTACTCGACCCTACATTCAACGGACTCGGAGCTGCCGTTTGTTAAGAATTTTGTACAATCTGTGTTACTTAACGTACTAATGTTACCTGCTGCCCAACAGCAGCTCTCGACTACCGTCATCGAGGGTTGTTCTAGGGCTTTACTCCATACTGCACCTAAGCGTAATGGTGACGGTTCATAATACATCTCGGCCAATCTATGGTCCTCTGCACCTCCTGAACCACGGTAAACGCGGTTGTTACCACCGTCTCTGAAAGGAAACCCATTAACTTATAGACTGATTAAGAGAATTGATCTTCGTTATTGTATACAACCAAAGTATAAATAAAAAAAAAAGTATGATAGAAAAGCATAACCTATCTCTTAAACCTATAAATTAATAGTAAATATATAAATCAGGAATTATGGCCAGTTAAACATTTCAACACTTTAAAGGAAAGAAATCCCAAATGTACGTTCATCATTATTAAGTTTGTTTATAGTTCTGCATTTATATGGCCAATGCGATGTAAGTCTCTGGGTGCTACTTTTAAAAGAATGAAATCTACGAGAAATTCTATTTCTTCGAAAAAGAAGTAAAATTTGTCAAAATTTTAGCATGCAGTGACTTGCTCAAAAAAGAGAAATGCAAGAACTTAACATACAGAATTAAAAAATGTATGTAACTTTAGTCATCGCGGTATTTTGTGGTACACTTGTGGACACAAATACCTTCCCTGTGGATATTTATTCCGCTAACGTGTGAAGGGAAGGCATTCAGACGCGCCAGTATACATAACGATACATTCCCAAGCTCTCTCGCTGCTTCAATAAAATGTAAGCCAATATTACGTACTATTCTTTCTCAAAAAAATGTAAACCTTGCACTGTCCATTTGACTACTTCTCTCATAGGACATACTTGTGATATCGACGTAATACATATCAGCAATAAAAATAGAGTAACAAATCTAAATTGCAAACAAAAAGTGGTGCAGCTCGCAGTGAATTCGGAGCAAGCCTTTCTATCCGTGCGATCGCCTTCGGTTGGCAAGAGAGGGCCGCCAAACTCTTGGAAAGTCAAGCCTGGTTTATGCTTCTGTCCTAACCCTAACTTAATTATAAGAGGTCAATCCTTAAGAATATAAAGTAAAATGTATTTCATAAATTATCATAACTGAATAGAAAAGTAGACAAATAAATAATACACATATCATACAAAATTAAATTATACAGCCTCGTAATGATACACAGTGGATGTAGTAACTAAACGCATTATTTAACAATTATTAAGCAAGCATAAACCGAGATTAAACGACGAGCATTATTAAACGTCTCCATAAGTAGCAGTACCATCTGTCCAAGAGAGAGTTAAAGATGTGTCAAAGTTCCTTTACCGTGAAGACAGGTGAAAAAAAACCTTTGACAGTTACTTCATCCTGGACACAGGCCTTTAGAGTCAGGACGGAGCATAAACGAGGCTTCAGAAAGTGAAAGCGTTTCTCGCGCGAAAACAAACGAGGTGGGCGACCTCTGCGGCGAAACGTATAAATGATGTACAAGTCAGAGCTTACTGGCGTGGTGCCGGCGCGCGCGGCCGGTGATTTAAAACTCCGCTCTCGGCCTGTTGATCGAGAGGGCCGTACCGTTGGGAATCGGGTCAGGCCCTTCGGGTGAAAATTCTCTCCTACCTTCGCGGAGCTTTTTTCGCTGCGCAGCCGTCCCTAGCAGCGCGAGCTCCCCGACGCTGTTGCGCTTCCGGTTCCGCCGTGGAGGGACGGCGTCTCGAGGTGGCCAACCGACGCGGGACTCGAAGTTACGCTCCGCGTAGCCGGCGCAGACGTGTTGCTCGCCGAAGCGACGATGCGGCCCCTCTGGAATCACGCAAGGGTTATTCGGGCAGCGCGTGTCCTCGAAAATATCACAGGCATCGTCATCGGTTTCCATAGCTGAACCGTATCCGAGGGTTGGCTGGCCTTCACCGGCGGTGCTTCCGTCGAACGGGCACTCGGACTCGGCCTGCGGACTCGGCGGCACATAACCGTAATACGCGTTCAACGAGACGAACGGCGCGATTTTGACGCCATACGTCGCCCTTTCACTCGCCACGGCCATTTCTTTCCTCGCTTCCCTGGTAGACGCACTACGGACGCACGCGCACACTTATGACAATATTTACACTGCAACGCAAGCAAACGAATGCACCAAGTCGGCCGAGGTTCACGCTCCGACACGGCCACGGTAAATGCGGCCGACCGTTTCGCGGACGCGGCGCGCTCGACGCCCGCGCCTCACGGAAACGCCCGAATGAATCGACGCCGCGATACGAAGCCACCCGAAGGTTGCAGTCGGGGCACGAACAACGGCGGAATTTGTCGATGCTTGCCGAATATTCCTCAAACGCTTCCCTCTCCATAAGATCGTTATTCCGATATTTGGAGAAGATGGCGTCGCCCGCCGACCACCGGCCGCGCATTGCGTGACTCAACTCAAGTGCAAATAGCACTTGACGCAATGTGACCCTGTTACCAACCCTAATGCGATCATGAATTACGGTCGTTCCATTTCATTTTGATGCCGATATCGATTCTCATTTTGTTCAGCGAATTAAGCGCACATTCTGTCGCTCGAGCTGCTACTCGAAACGTCCGTAATTCAATTAAATTCAAATTTTTTGCCTGAGCCCCGTAACTCGTATTCCTTTGATTTCAGTACCAATCACGGTTGTTTTGAGTCATTGACAACTCTGATTGGCTCAGTTTGAAGAACGTTATGGATTGATATTTCTATTCACTTTTGTTTCTTTTTATGGTAATAAAAGAAGGATTTAATTGCTGAAAACGTGTTTTGAAAAGAATGTTAGTTTTCGTAATAGTCACGTTTATTAATGTAATTTAAGTTCCAAATTATGCACCCCTCGAAATAGAATTATTAATATTCCTTGTTTTAATTCTGGCGCCTTTAGAGGGAGACATCTGTTGTATTTTTAAAGTACTGCTTGCGTAAAGGTATCTGCCGTACTAACCACACAGGCGACGACTGAAAGATGTTCCAACCAACTCATCTCTGGTTCTAAGGAGTATAACCTCAATATTACTTAAAAATTTGAAAAGATTTCATAAACAATACATTATAAATGATGGCATCAGCAAGTAGAGGTGTACACTTGAAGCATTTTCAACTTCTGACACAATCACGGTTAGTGCATACAAATGCTGATGTGTTAAAAGAATGTAAAGGGGTAGTTAATAAAAATCGAAGGAGTCTTGAATTATTGAGAATTGCAAGAAAGCCAGAAGGCTATGTCTTGGATAAACCAGGCCGAAACAACTGGCACAAGTAAGAACGTACGATAAATAAAAAGGTCTCAAATTATCAAATAAGGTATTTGATAAGATTCCTTGTAAATTTGTAGGTTAGTTTTAAACAAAACAGGACGACACACTACTGCAGAAGTACATCACTATGAAAATGGACCTATTGTTTCAGTATCAACCAAAGAATGGGCAATAAAAAAACAGATATACAAGTTTGTATACTTTGATAAGTATCTGCTTTGTTAATTAACACGATGTTTAATAAATACCTGTTTATATTCCAGATTACAGGATACATCAACTTACATTAATTTAGGGCGCATACTAGCTAATCGTTGTTTAGAAAGTGGGATTGTAGCCATTCAGTTTTATGATAAGCCTTCAGAAGGTAGCAAGGTGCATCTTTTTATCGATGAATTACAGAAAAATGGAATATGTTTAAATGAACCTCCTGTATATAAGCATCGGCATGTTTCTCATTACATTAGAGAAGAAAAACCATGGGAAGTTTATGAATAGTTTTTGATATAATTATCAGTAGATATTGTTTTTAAAGCTGATTTATAAATGTAACATGACTAATAAAATATTAAGTTTCTTTCGAACAAGTGGTTCTTGTTTTTCTGAATGTTTGACCTTAAAAATTATTACTTATTATAATTGGCACAAGGAAATGATGAACTATTCTTAGCTTTCTCAATCTTTATTTCTCCACCATGAATAGACATGAAACGATGGAAATATGTAGAACCGCTTAGAATTTCAACCTATGCGGGTATTGGCTGCTGCGTAAACCAAACATTGCTGACAAGTATGTGAAAAGTAATTTCTTATCTGGATGTTTCTTAATCGCAGCGATGACAAGTTTATCCACTGTCTTCTGATCAGCTTTCCGTTCATCGCTTGGTTTGTATTCCTCTTTCTTCTTAGCAAAAATATCTCCTTCCTCCTTTTTAGCACGCTTATCACGTTTCCTTTTAAAATAATCATCATTGATCTGTTCAGGAAGCTTAAAGCCAGTAAGATCAATTTTTGTAGAAGTGGCGATTACATAGTTTTGGCTCACCCTTCTTAAAGGACAAGCATTAATCAGGAAAGGACCTGTTAAAAAAGATGAAGATTACTGAAACTTATTTTATCATATTAAACAAGTGATTCGTTGCATTTGTTAAAATTTAATATTAAAACAAAACAAAGCTTCTTTAAACATGAACACATTCCACTCCAATGACGAAAAAAAAAATTAAACTTACCAGTTACTAACAACAGACCACTCTTAAGTTGCTTCAAGAAGACAACACGCTTTCCTTTGTGTTGACCAGCTAAAAGAATACAGATTGTTCCAGGTTTTAAAGATGATCTTAAATACCGACGATGATCTCGGAAACATTTCTTAGCATGATGAACAGTTACTGGATCTGCAGTAGGGTAATTGGCTCTTCTTTTCTTTAGTAAAACTATACGTTTTCCTCCATTCTTTTCCCCCCTAATCTGTTTCTCAACAGATACAGGTTTTTTGGGTTTTGGCTGTTACGGAATTAAAAGATTAGTCAACATATATGAACTATATTTACAAAGGTTCATTTTAAAAAATTAAGAAAATATACAAATATTACTCACAGTTTTTGGGGTTTGTTTTCCAAGAAACTTATAAATTGCCTTTTTATGGAACATTCGTGTACGACTGAACCTGTACACTCCATTACCGAGGTCATAATTCCTAGGCCTGATCTTCTTAAGCTTAGGCGTGGCGGCACCAGTTTCTGGTGCCTTTTCCTTTTCCTTTTCCTTTTCCTGAGCCTTTGTACTCGCCATCTGAAATGTTAAACACATATGTATCTAGCTTAAATGTCCACACAATTTGTAGTACGTCTTTCATCTCGAAAACATTGAAAAACAAATCGACTGTAATTTTGTCAACAATTTAGGAAATCTGTCACACTTTATCTCAGATGATTTAATTTCTAACATTTTTAAATTAATAACACATCGATTCAACAATAAATAATGGTCACATAGGTAAGTTTGCAACTGACATGCCGCACGTATACAATCTTGCACCTTGTGGATTATCAGCTGAAATTAGGAGCTCTACCAAAAATATGACATGTATCGTCTAAAAAAATTTGTTTTGTTGCGATATTTACGTAGTACGTTATTTTAACTTCGTACAAATTGAAGGATTACTTGGATATTGTGGGAAGAATTCGAACAAGGTTAACTTACCTCGAAACAGGCGATCGAAAGAGTCTCCCTCTGCCAGGCGTTTCACGTACTACAAGCGAATCATTGCTGCCAATTTCTTTTTAAATAATAAAAATCTGGAAGTAGTACTTTCATATTTTGACATTTCTTTATCAAATGTTATTATCAATCCAACAAAACACACGGTGGGCATAAAATATGGGTTTATATCTAACTTAACAGATGCTACTTGTTCACATTTAAATTTCAAGTTACAGTTCGTACAAAAATCTGCGATTTCATGACCGACAGGATACTGACAGCACTCATAATGTTACGCGTCGCAGATTTAAGTTATATAAATGCAAGTTAATTGCCGTGAAGGACGATCATAAAGACCGCAAAAGTAAAATGCCAGAAACTAAAGAATTGCTGTATCAAATATATTAAAAAAAAAAAACTATCCTTTATAAACACAATACAATTTCTCATATTATGTACATAGGACTCACAACGAATTTTATAACTTTCTGAATAACGAGGTTAATTGAATTTTGTTTCCAATTCTGCTTGATTTCATGTCAACTCGATCTTATTCCTTTTCGTCCAAGACATTACGTCAACTAGATAATATTATACTGAATATTCCCAAGTTCTATATTTAATAGCTACGTCATGCAATTTTGCACCCACGCAAGAGTATATTCTCGCAAAAGGAGTAAATAAGGAGAAATTGCGCTTCTGACATAACGGAATTAACCAAGCATATGACGTTGACGGTCTACTTTCGCATGCCTCATGCGTAACTCCACTCCAACCTCTGGGAGACCACTTTATCTCTCTCGCTCCTATACCTCGAATAAGTGCGACGAAGAGGGTCTTATGCGAGTGAAGCATAGAGGATACCTGACGACGATCCTAACCTCATCCTGAGTACCCCTTGTAGTGTCTATTAGGTCTTTTACTCGAATGACGTATACAGGTTAATACACGCTAAAAGTGTGAATGTGGCGATATAGAACGCGAGTGCCGATGCATCCATGCGTGCGTACTATTCCGGTGATGCAGACTGATGCAGACGGACTTCGTCCGTACTCCATGATGGATGTGATGTGTTCGAGCCGTAAGGTGCAACTTTAATTTGCAACTCTGACACCGTCGTCGCCCAATTGTGCTACGACATGACTTCGCCCAACAATCACGGACTTGTCAGAGGTTACCAGCGTTTCACCGAAGATGCGGCTCTCGATTTAGCCCACGAAGACTATGGGTCGTCCAGTCCCAGTGAGTTTTTTTGAGAGCAACTTTCAAGCTCCGGAAGTAAGCGCAGGACTTTCTGGCCAATGCGTTTTGCATTAGAGAGAAATAAATAGTAGTGGTATATGTAAAATTGTTAGTTGCAATAAATGTTAGTAGTAATTAAATTAAGCAAGCTTTGTTCGATGGTGTGGATACCGTTTCAATTGGATACTCTCGATTAAAGGTGAATTAAGCTGGATAACATTGGATTAGATGTAACGAAGTTAAAGTAGTTCCAAATCTAATTTGATGAATAAAAGTGCATACAAAGTTTGCTTTTATATGAGTCAGATGGGTTGTACCCACGATTGATAAAACATTCATAATACGGGAGTAAATATCTCCACAGTGTGAAACACTGCGGTAGATAAGAGGCAAATGTCTATAGTAACATCTTATTGTACTCCTATACGTGATTTATTTATGTTAACATTAAACAGTTTATTGGTACAAATGCTCTATTTTAGATAAAGCAGAAATTGCATACGAATTTATGTTCATGCGATCAAGGTAAAAAATCAAATTTTTCATTTGGTCCGTAAGTAGCACGTGTACTTTGTAACTAGTCAGTTGATTTGTTAATCTACTCATGTGATAACTTATGATTAAAGCATTTAAGCATTACATTACTCGATGCAAATATATTAGACTCAGCCTTTTGATACAAAAACCACTGAGTGATATATTTATATTAAAATTGATTCTTCCACTCGCATCATAAATTACTGTTTGAGGATGATATGTATATTTGTAAAATATATTTCATAGTGATTCTTTGACGTTTTACACTGTTATTACTGTGTATCATGACTCTCAATACAGACATGACCTATTTCCTCGTTATAAGAAAGCCAGATAATATTCTTAAAATAAGATCAGTAGGAATATTACCAGCTATTTCATTTTATATCGCTTTAACGGTACATGGTAGTTAACAAATAGAAATATGTGATCTAGTAGTAGTAATGTTAGTCATACCACAAAGTTTTTGTACCTACACTGTAAATAATTTTTTTGTGCTCTTTAAAATAACACACATTTTAAATGTACTTCTTACTTACATCTTCGTTTGCTTAACATTTCTAACACATGTCCAAATATTACTGATATTTTCTACTTGTGTCTGTTCCATGGTAATTTTGAATAAGAAATTATCAGAAACCTTGATGGTTATCTAAGCCGAAAATTGCCTGCTAATTTGATAAAGCACTAATGGATTGCACGTCGCTCCTATGCATGCTTATTTCATTGCCCTATGCGTGCTTTTAATTTTTTCTAGAATATGGGTCTATGTTGTCTTGCCCTTCCTCAGACAGACATGTAAGGACGTCACCAAATGGAAACCTCGATGTACCAAATGATGCAGGCTATCGAATCACTTTGAGGGGGACTGAAGCAGCTTTGTCGGAGAGTGCTGCTCTTGCAAGACATGCAGCGGTTTTGGATGCAGACATGCATTGGGAAATGAATTATCACGAGGCAGCAATTTTTTTAGAAGTACGTATACCGGTTTTATAAAATAATGTATATATTTATTTTATACAATACTTTGCTACAGGAAGGAAGAAACAACGAGAAATTCGATTCTCATCCCCGACATCCTGAGGATTTACCAGCATACCTTTTAGTGCATAATAATTGGTATTACGGCCTTGACTTATTAACGTCTCTTATTCTTTTGGCATTAGCCCTTGTGGAAGAGCCAGCCATTCCGTTATTTCAGGTAAATTTTATATCGCAAAGCATAATATATTTACAGCTGAGTGTATGAGCTAAGAATTTTTCCCAAATGTGTGTTTTCATTTAATTGTTTAAAATTTTAATAATTATCAGGTGATCACTCTTTTCGCTAACACTATATCACTTTCTATAAATTGATCATGTATTCAATTCGAACCTGAACATAATTATCATCAATGTATCAATGTCAAATTACAGTGTTTAAAATTCAATACATATTCACTCGGTAAGATCCGAACGTGAGTCCACTCTTCAGCAGATTGATTGTAAGTCGTCCGATGTTGCATTTGTAAAAATTAGCAGAACATAAAGAAAAACAAATAAAAAAGTAAGTTTCCCTCTTCGATTTTTAACAAATATAGGATTTTGATGATGCATGATTTCAACTACACGATGGTCAGAAAAATCCATATGTTAGTGTACATTTTTCTGTTTTCAGTATTTCAATATACGTATAATAATTGAAATTGCATTTTCTAGTACTTGTCAAATATCCGATACTTACATTCATATTACTTAAACCTTTATCTCTGAAAAGGCGTGTTTTGTTCCTTTTTAACTAATATTACTAGTGAATGATTCCGACTTGTTGCTAAACATTGTTTTAACGTTTTGTGAAAGTTGATACAATTCACCACAGTGACTCTTAAAAAAACACGTAACAAGTTATACAAGCGTCAAAAGTATAACACTTTTGTTGCTCCATATATTACATTTAAGTTCTGCTATACATTTGCCTCTCTAAATTATCGTACTACTATTTGCCTACTATTTTTTGATGATATCATTTTTTTAGTTGCCGGTATGGGCGCACGGATCCATAGAGTTATTTGCTCTGATTACAATTGGCGTTGAATTAGCGCTAAAATTGAGATGGATAGGATGGGGAACTATTTTAAAGCATAAACGTACTATGCTTAAGGTAAAAGATTTGAATTTCATTTACATTCTACTAGGTTACGATGTTAAAGGCACATATTTGATATTTCAACGAGTATAAATTACATTTGGTAACACAGATAATAAATCTTTCATTCAATTTTAACTTGACATTGGTTCTGTCAGCTGAGTATTACATTCATTATGCAATACGCTACACGTGTCGGGTAGACATCAGATTACTGGATCCCAGACTAATCCAGCTCAAAGTTGATTTACTGGAGTGTTTGAATCGTTCGTGATATAAGATTGTATCAATAATGAACCTCTGTTCTGAACCCCATTCGATATTTCAAATGGTTTTTGACTGTCTTTCAAAACGTATTTTATCAAACCTGTTTTTAAATTCTATTGTTATATATCATAAATATTATTTAAGAAATTTTTATAGATTATTTCTTGTAATAACAGTGAATATATCATTAAAAGCCGTTATGTCTATCATGGATATGATATTAACGGGTAATTAACAGATGTTTCTTTGTTACAGTGCATTACCCTAGCAATTATGTTTGTCGAGGCCATGATAGTACTAGCTCGACAATCTTCCCACTTTAGAGTAACTCGTGCACTAAGGCCTATTTTTCTAGTAGACACAAAATATTGTGGAGGAGTCAGAAGATTCATCCGACAGATATTACAAACTCTGCCACCAATCCTTGATATGCTGGGACTTCTTTTATTTTTCATGCTTACGTACATGGTTTTGGGCTATTACATGTTCAGTGAAATGAACAGGAACTTTCGTACCCTACAAGACAGCTTTGTGAGCTTGTTCGTTCTGCTTACTACTGCGAAGTGAGTGACACAAGTAGTGTTTATATATTCTCGTGGTGCACAAACGTACAGATTATACTTATTACGAGGAAACATGAATCAAGGAATGAAGGTCTGCACAAAAGTTAATTAATCCTGTATCTAGTTTCCCAGATGTCATGATGCCGTCTTTTTCGAGGAACAAATGGTATGCGATCTACTTCGTATCTTATTTAAGTACAATGCTCTACGTGATGATGAACTTGATGCTGGCCGTGGTAAATGAAACTTTCACGTCCGCGGAGCGGGATAAATTTAAAAAGTTGCTTCTTCATAAGAGGAAGGCCTGCCAGCATGCTTTCAAGTTGTTAGTTTCTAAGCAAAATCCTGACAAAATGAGATTTCGTCAGTTTGAAGGCCTCATGCGATATTATGCACCGCATAAATGTACGTTTCCTTTGTTATTATTTATATTTTATATCTGAGAGATGAAGTATGAATGCAGGCATACAAAACTTACAGCTACTTTGGATGTCATTCTGATGTTTCGGCACATGAATGCATCGGGCAATGGGGTCCTCACTACTGAAGAATTCTCATCGGTCTACGATGCCACTACTCTTCGATGGGAATTGCAATATTCGAGTGTACCGTGGTATCACGCTGCGTGGCATCCTTTGCAAATGCTGTGTACAGCTGCTCATACCGCGATCTCGTGGCCGTACTTCGAAGTGATAGTTTGTACGTAAGATATGACAGTATCGAAGAAATGGTAAATGTGAAAGAAACAAATTTTTTACAGATACTGCGATTATTGGTAACGGAATTTCAATGCTAGCGAGACTCGTGCAGCCTAACGAAAGCGTGCAGGAGTCCGTACACATGTTTGCTGCATGTTGGGATACCCTACTTTTTGGAGGACGTAAGTTTTTTTTTTTTTAGTATATTCTTATTGGTGTAAAAAATATTAATTCTATGCAAATGGGCACACTCTTGCAATAAGAGTAAACCTCGCTTATTTGATTATTTCATATCAGTCCATTACATTAAAAGGCTTTGGTCTTATTTTCAGTGTTCGTAGCTGAGGCATTGACTAAATTATTAGGCCTTGGTATAAGACGTTACCTGAGCTCTGGTTGGAATCTTTTCGACATGGGAACGTCAATTATGACTTTAGTGGCAGCATGTGGTTTAACGTTGTTCCCGAACGCCACGTTTCTGGTAGTCTTCAGACCACTAAGACTCCTGAGATTATTTAAATTGAAAAAACGATACCGAGATGTCTTCGGTACATTAGTCATTTTAACGCCGTTAATGTGCTCGACTGCAATCGTTATGCTCGTTTTATATTACTTTTTTGCCATTATCGGAATGGAATTGTTCGCAGGCTACGATATGCGAAACTGTTGCAAGTACGTATTCTGTGGCTCGGCTCTATTTTCACTTTTTCCTTTATTGTATGTATGTCTTATTTGTACAAAATATATATATTTGTTTTTCTTTTTAGAAACACGACAGTCGAAGATTTTTATAAGTATTCTGTGAATGGAAGCAATACATTGGGGTATTACTACTTGAATACGTTTGACAATCTCGCTGCGAGTTGTATGACCCTCTTTGAATTAACCGTTGTAAATAATTGGTTTATACTCATGAACGCTTATGCAGCCACTGTAGGCTTGTATACTCGAGGATACTTTATGATATTTTATTTGGTTACTATGATCGTACTGACTATTGTGGTCTCTAGCTTTTTGGAAGCCTTTAGATTTAGGATACAGTATAAAAGATCAACAACAAAACGTGATGGTAAATCTATAAGGAGATTAGATATAAAATAGCACGTATAACTGGTGGAAAGATATTTTATGGTACAATTTTTTGTTCACAGAGGAGAAGATGTTGCACGAAGAGGTCGAATTAAAGTGGGACGAGTTGCAATCTCTACTTCAGGACTTTCAGTTTTTGGACCAACTTAGATCGTTTTTAATCGTTGGCGTAAGGATCCTATTTATTTATGAATTAATTGGATCATTATTAACAAATACTATTCATTCGTTTGTGGAATATTAATTTTTATCATATTTATATTGGCTGGTAAACGTAATTGACTTAAGATAGCAATTTCAATTGTCTACAGGGTACGACAGCATTTATTGGCTCTCGTCCACGAACAAGAGAAGTTCTGCAACGGCGAATGTACACTCATGAAATAAATGAGTGGCTAGCTGAAGCTAAATTAGAGGAGAAACACAGTGGATCGGAACGCCTGGAGGAATCGGATGAATCTAGATCTGCTGATGGTACTACCAGTCCTAATCATACTGTATTGAATGGAGGTCCATTATCTCAACGGTATAATGACGTTACTAGCCCTATGTAACACTTCCACGGTGCACTAGTATTAGCAAATTAGATATTTTACAGATAGAGCGGAACAAAAACGTAAACAAAATGATGATCGATATTATAGGATCGTTTTTATTTTGTGGACGTAAGAAAGGCTAATGCCTAGAATATTTGAGGATTTTAACATAATTTTTTTTGGCTTCCTCACTCTTCCAAAAGTCACAGTATGTGCATTAATAATATGCAGTAGATATGAGGTCGATACGGTAATTGTAATATTAGATGTTAGGTTTACTCACGTTTTGTTACTGTGGATGCAAATGACTAATTGCTGGACATAATAGAGCATCGCAGCAATGAATTTTATTCCTTAGTATTAGTAGTATAATCTACTAATGCTAATATCATTTTATACATGAAATCAAGACTTACTAAAAGGAAAGTAACGTTCATTTTCATCTTACTTTTCATTAATAATGTGCTGGCTGGTCCATGTATGACGATAATTACTTAGCTTTGTAGACGTTATTTTAAACATTTGACTAAAACGAGACCTTATTACAAATGTATAATATTGGATACTCTTCTTCATGTAAACAATTTAACTTATTTGAATACAGAAACAAAGAATTCGGAGGTTGAAAAATATCCTTGAGCTTTAAAAATGTAACATCGTTCCATCTTTGATTGAATTACATGATGCAATACTTTGTTCAATTATATTATATATTCTTCAAACAAAAATCTATGCGTTTACAGTATCATAATACTAGTATGACGTGTTCAAAAGATATGTTAAAACGGAAATATTACAAATTACAAGTTTACGTTAATATTACACAAAATATTGTGATTTCTGTTTAACGTTGTCCAAAGGTTTTGGAATAGACAATTAGTCAATTTTATATTTGAAATATAATTTATACTTTCAAGGATAGTAATAACTGTACTAAGTTTTAATGCCAGTGCAATATTGAATTCTGAGTCTCAATTATATTCCACACGTTTAGTTGTTTAGAGATTATGTTTATCCTGAAGATGACAGCTTTTTAATTGAGTATTAATGATATTTTATATTGTGATATAGTATAAATAATAAAATATAATTTAATTATATAAGCTAATCACATTTTCACCATATAAGGTAGTAGAAACAAGAATGTACTGACCAAATTATGTACAAAACATTAATTTAAACATATGCATCACAAAATATGTCACTCACTGTATTTGTTGAATAAAAACAACATGCAATATTATGAAATGTCTAATCTTTCAATTCAAATACAAATCTCAAAACTGACAAAAATACCCTTCTTTTGTTTAACAAAACAAACTACATTTGAAATACTTATACGAGAGAGTTTTGTTTCAATCAAGGTGAATTTGCACTCCTGGGCCCCCTAGATTAGTTAACGATACGAGATAACCATTGGCAATTAATTTTCTTGAAATACTTGAAATAGTTTCACTCGGAGTGTCTGGCAAAAGTAAGATGTAAGCGTATCCACCTCCACCAGCACCTGTCAGTTTTGCTGCGAGTCCATAATTCTTGGCCTCTGCACAGATTCTATCCAATGATGGATGTGATGTTTGACACGAAGACAATAACCCCTGATTTAGTTCAATAAGAGTCTGAAAAATAAGGCAATGCATTGCATAAAAATGATCACTTACGAGTGATACGGAGTTGAATATTTGTTACGTACCATTAATTCCTGATACACTGCATAAAGCAAAGCATCGGAACTTTCAGGAAAACTTCGCATCTTCTTAATGATATTCAGAGCTTCGTTCGAGACATTGTCTATGGCATCGAAGATGGGGCCAAAAATATTAGGATATTTATTTTTAAGTTCTATTAAACGCTCCACTAATGCTTTTGTGCTTCTTTGAACTCTCGTGTCTACTAGAAGTACTCTCATACTTTTTACTCCATATATCGGCTCCAAAGATTCGCCTTTTTTGAATTTTATTATACTGCCATATGTACATACCGAGTTATCTATACCAGATGGAGTGCCGTGCATAATTCTTTCACAGTTCAATGCATATTTTGATATTATCTTTAAGTAAGTGCTATCTAAAACTTCAGGCGTGCCTTTTTGGAGACGAGACCAATGCAAGAAAGCAGTCGCTAAAGAAACGGCAAAGGAAGCCGAGCTGCCCAATCCTGAACCAATTGTTAACGCAGTGTTGACGTTAACCTCAAATGGTTTTACATTGATTCCTTCATTCTGGGCAATGCTAACCAATAAATAGAAAAATGCTTCTAAACTCTGTCGCTGAGGAGCCTTGGGAATGTTCATAGTTTCTACTAACTTTTGTATGTTACCGTAAAATGTTTCGTAGCTGTCATTGACTTTAGGAGAGTTATCACTGAAGCAAAACCTTCTGATTTGCTCCAATGGTAAGCTTAAATCCAAGAATACTTTTGGCATCGATAGGCGAATACATTGCTCGTTTTCAGGAAGTTCTTTAAAGTCTACAGTAGTACGCAGATCTACGCTGGCTGCTAAAGCTGTCTTTCCATAGACTACCGCATGTTCTCCGAAAAGAATCACTTTACCTGGTGCCGATACCTCAAAATGAATCATTTTCGTTTCTCTTTTTTAATTAACTAGTCATAAAATGTCATGCACAGCACTCGCAAGATTACAACCGTAAATGCTAGAATAAACAAGTTAACTCTCTTTTTATTCAATATATTAATAATATTTTACGAGAAATGAAAATTACTGGGTAGAAAGATCAAAAGTAGTGAGAATAGAAAAGGCTTGTAATGTTTATAGTCAGAACATCGTCTCTCTATTTTGAAGTTTAATCCTTCATTGACTATTTCCTAGCAAATTCTAAAGGAATCATTATCAAGCGTGCTTCTTTTTCCACTGTTCTGGTGTTAACGTCTGTTGTGAAAACGCATGAATTTCTTTCAGTTCTTCTTCCAAAACTGAATTTACCAGTCTGTAATATATTATAATATCCATTAAAATCGTACACATTGTTTGGTTTGAGTAATAAAATGTAAAATAGGAAATTGCATAAAGAAGTGATAATCTGTTATACAATAATTGTTTCGTTTTAGTATGCAGAATATATTTGCAGTACTATCGAAGTTTATCAATCTTAAAGTACCTGTGCCGTTGCAGTAAAGGTTTCCCTTCAAATTTATCAGAGACAATCACCACAGAGAACTTTGCGCCACAACCATCAGATTGATCTTCAACTTCCTGTAACATGCAGAAATCTTTAACTCAATCTTTATATACAATTAAAGAAATTAATGAGTGCAATCATTTAAGTATGATCGATATGATAAGGGTGGAAAATGTATAGAAATTACAATATTTAATATTATTACATTCCTCATATTATTTTTTCAGCTAATAAAATATTTCCCCACATTTTATGTGCAACTATTTGCTATATTTATAAAAGGGACATTAAAGAATGCTTGATATCATAGAATAGTTATGTTTACTATAAGAGAGGACAGAAAGAATACACTGCTTTATTTATACATACGTTTATTAAAAAATAAACTTATCTACATACAAGATTTCTCTTATTTTCATGATTAAGAATGCACCTCAAAATGAATTTCAACAAAAATTTAATATTTAAATTATGAATTTTTCACCATGCTGGATTGTTCGAATATTTGCACTGAGTACGCACACAAATTTCAAAATTATTTCTGTTAACTTGATTTCACCTTTTGGATCGAAAGCTGCCCTATTTTATAAAACTGATAGAAATTAAAATAGCAGAAAAACAGAACAAAGTGACAACAAGAATAAATTGATATTAGCAATGGAAACAGATCAGGATATCTCTCTGGAGGTTTTACAGCTCGAATGCATAAAATTAAGAGTAAAGTACCTAACATAGATGCGTAGAATAATTGCCTTCTCAATAAAAAATAGTCACATAACTTTAAAGTTGCACGTTCAAGGAAACTTTTTTGTTTTACTGCGATCTTATGTTTACGATTCGACTCTTTTTGCTGCAGAGAATGATCATGTCCAGGTTTCCTCATGTCAAAGAGCAGAATTGATGGATACATCCATGTTACAGATATGAAATAAAATAAGGAAGTAGCACAGAATGCAAGAAATAAATTATCTTGTATAAGCAACGGTAGCATACTAAAAGATGAAATCATTAAGAACCAAAAACATGGAAACGGATCATTATGAAAATGCAATAGAACAGGAATAGCAACAAGGAGAATCGTTTTCTCGTGAACTTGAAATGAGAATAAGAAAAATCCTAAGGCTGAATTTATTAATGCAACTACAAATTTCTCTTTGCATGGTTCCATGTACAAATTGAAGCAACTTGGAAAGATGGTTATTGCTGTTAATGCTAGACAAATTTTAGCTAACTGAGCATTGGCCCAACCTGTTTGCAATTTATAGATTACATTAAGAGCACACCAAATATTTGCCACTTTATCTTCAAACACTCCTCTAGAAAAAGGAAATAGTCTTGAAATTGCATCAATAAAGGTTGTACATTCGTAAGTAAAAGGAACCCAGATCAATGCAAATGTTATTATTACTGCTAAAGAAACACACGTTAAAGTATAAAAACAAGATTTAAATGACTTCTTTCTTCCAGGAGTGTTGCAGCCGAGTATATAAAAGAAAAATGGAAGTGCATGATATAACTCCATCTGCTTATAATTCAATGCCAGAACAAATAAAATTGATCCAACAATAGGCATATCCTTTAATATAGCTGTTACAGCACCAATGAAAAATCCCAATGAAGCACAGTTATATTGAAAATGTCCATGATCTATCAGAATCAATCCAGGAAAATATAATATTATTACTAATATAAGATCACATTTATCAAAACCAAAAATATTCTGTTGGTTTATCTGTAAAAACTTGAATTTTTTTATATTTGTATACATAACATAAAACAGAGCAGCTGGTACATAGGTCATTAAGTCCGTGATTAAAACAGATAGTCTCATGAAGTACTTATGACCTTCGCTTTCATAACCACGAGAATTATGCAGAGATACATATTTATAGTTAGTTTTGTTAGCGATCATTCCTAATAATAGGCTATGGTATGCCGTTAATGGTGGATAATCTAATCCCCAATATAGGAGATCATTGTTTGTCGAATTGGTGTACCACTGCTTTACAGGTAAATTTAATGTTATTTCTTGCCAATGACGTTGCGCTTCGTAATCACCATACATGGGTGGTTTGTCCATCCCACTGTACGGGTGATAAGTGATACACCATCTTAAGAGTATCGCTACTGCAATAACGATTATTGTATGTCCACTCATTGGTTTGCAAGTTCCTTGTTATACTACTCTGGTATTAAATTAATGTTCGGAAAATAATGTGGGAATCTGACAGCTGAAAAAATGTGAGGTTTCCGCAGTAATTTTTAGGTTAAGTATTCCGATACTTTTAACCTGTTCGCATATGCACTATAATAACATTGAAGTACTTACCACATGTAAAGCTCCAAGCTCTGTGATTAATTTATTCTTAATGTAATCTTCCGTATATGGCATACTAAAGTGAAATTTATCAACTCTGCCGTGCCACAGTTATTTACATTATATCCTCCTCACTTTCTTACCACTTCCACCACGTGCTCTTGCATCTCTGAAAATTCCACAAGCGCATCTAAGTCTGTCAGCAACGTAACAAAAATCCTACTTACATAAAATCCTAGACCGGTGGCCTTTGCTCCGCAGTTTTTTCTTACTCAATTCCACAGCAAACGGAAAACTGTTGGAAAATAATTTGAATCTACTGCAAGTACGCCTTGAAATATTCCTCGTTACTTTTTATACCACCTACGATCGATAAGTTATCAACAGTTATCGATAATTGTCATCGTTAAACACAATTAACGCTTTATCATTTCATAATCATCTGACCCTATCCTAACAAATTCATTCCTGAATCCTTTAACTATTTATTTTTCATAATTTTCGTTTGAACTTTCAGTTTGTATTTTTTTTTTCTAATAAACCACGTATATTTATCGATAATATCGATTACGCTTTTCCGACTATTGATATGTTTCGATCAGTTTCGATATTAATCCGTATCAATCATAGGTCGATATTCCATCCTTTCAATTTAAAGCGAAAGAAAGGTTTTGATTGGCTGTAAAGAAGGTTAAGTTCCGTTTTCACGTAATTTATTATGTAAAATACCTAGTAATTCGCTATTAAAAAGTACGTAATCACTCTGTGTATGTATGTACATACACACATGCGTAAATTAGCTAGGGTATTTTACTTACTCTTTCGTATGCGCAATCCTGCAGAAAATGGCGTTCGTTGGCATCTTCCGCCAATTTCCAGCAGCTTCATAAGCTCTTATTCATACTTCGTGCCTTTTGCTTTTTAGGTTTATGGCCGTGACCGTCGAACTTTATACAAGTCGCGGAGTATCGTGCGGATCGCGGCGAAGCGGAAGCGGTGCCTGGTGTGGTTGAAATAGCTGGGGATAACAACAAAAAGTAACATGGCGTGTAGAAACCATGCCGACAGCGCGATTAAAGAACGTCGATTACGATCGATTTACGGTAGATTCATTAGAATATCAATCGAAACGGAGAAAGTAAAGTCAACGGAGCAAGATAGAAATACGGACAATTCATATTGTAGATAGCGGTTGTACGATAAAGAGGTTATATAATTGTAGTATGTATCTTTCAAATTTTCAGACTGGTTGGATAATGGAAACAACAAAAAGGCTCTTCAAGAAGCCGAGAAGGTCCTTAAAAAGCAGTCTTCGAATCAGTGTGCCAGGGTACTTAAAGCTCTGGCCTTACTTCGTCTTGGAAAGAAGAACGTATGTCAGGTAATCGTAGACAAGGTGTGCTCCGAAGTACCATGCGAAGATATTACTTTACAAGCTATGAGCGTGTACTATAAGGAGGTGCAGCAGCGTAAGTTACTACAATCTGTTTATGTGATCATTTTGATAGATCTTTCATATCGAGCGATTGATTAAGATTTGACATTTTCTCATTGCAATGTAGTATTGCATGTCGTAACTTATATCTTTGCTATCATTAATTGAAAAGTAAAAGATTTTTAATAGAAAGAAAATATTAGCATACTTTATAGTTCAGTGTTTATTTATAGCAAATAAAATCAGTGAAATGTACGAGGCTGCGGTAAAAGCAGATCCTAATAATGAAGAACTTCTTACGCATCTTTTTATGTCTTATGTTCGACTTGGGGATTTCAAGAAACAAAAAGAAACAGCGTTAGTTTTATATAAATTGAGGAATAAAAATCCATATCATTGTTGGGCCGTTATGAGTACAGTCATGCAAGCTATGCAAGCGGACAAGAAGTTAGCTAAGAATGTTATACTACCACTTGCAGAAAAAATGGTTAGTTGTACTATTTTAGCTAACTTTTAAAATTGACTTGAGATTTTAATGTTATTTTATTGAAAAACAGATATTAAAATTAGTAAATGGTGGAAATATGGAAGCTGAGCAGGAAGTAGAACTCTATTTGATGATCTTACGACTTCAAGAAAAGTACGAAGAGGCAGTAACGGTTTTGGAAGGTCCACTTGGTTCCCTAGTATCTTATAACGTAATGTTAAAAATAGATCTGTATATAAAGTTACAAAGATATGAGGAGGCTGTAACTACCGCGACAGAGCAATTAAACTCTGAGTAAGTATCAATGGTTTAATTACCATATTAAATATTTATATAATTTCAATAAGTAATATAAGAAGACCAGTAATAATGCTAAATAAGATCTTTATATTTTTATGACTATACTTAAGATTTCTATGAACCCAACTGATTTGTATCTTGTCATTCTATTTACAGCCCAGACAACTGGAAATCTTATTTATATTACTTGACTGCTGCTTTGAAGATTCAGTCTGTAAATCAATGTTTGGAGTTCTTTCATAGCATGTGTCAATCTACTGGAAAGAAATTAAGGGCTCCTTTTCTTGCCTGTTTAGAATTATTTTTGCGTTTACAAAAGAATTGTCAAACAAATATGTTGGAGGGATTAACGCACCCAATAGATCAAATGTGTGACTATTTTAAATTATTTGGGGAGAAACCATGTGTTGTTGCAGATTTAAAATTATATTTGGGCCTTTTGAATGATAAAGAGAAACTGAAACTTCTTGAGAGGGTTCGTAAGAAATGTATAGCAGTTATATTAAGTGAACATGTATTTTTGCATTAAGCAAAATTAGGGTAATATGTCATGGTTTCTAATTTTTCATTATTTTCATAGATAGGAAATGACATAGGGGTGGAACAGGATGGATATCCTAAAGATGTGCCTCAAATGCACAGGCACATTCATTTGGAACAATTGAAACGTATTTGCGGAATGCATCACCCACCTGTCGCCGATGTAAAACGGAGAAAAGAATTGATGAAACGCTTTTGCGAGCTATATGAAAAAGGAAGTGAATTATGTCCAATTCATGAAAGGCTACCTACTGATTTTTCACCTGCTGATCCTTACGCACTTTTAGCATGTCACCTGTTATATCAATTATGGGTTGAGACCGATGATACCTCAAATTTGTACAGGTAGGTGTAAAATTTACATTGAAATCCTTTAAAAATGTGGTGAAATTGCTGAAAATATTTAATAATATTTTTACAGATCCATAGCACTGTTGGAGCATGTTTTGTTATCAAGTCCTACTAATTATTATGTAAAGATCTTGTTGATTCGTATGTATTTAGAGGTTGGACTAATAGAAGCAGCGGACCATATATTTATACTATTGGATACAAAACAGATCCAGATAGACTCTTTAGGCTACTTGCATGCGCCACTTCTTGCGCCACTTGGATATTTATCGCAAGCTTGTTTTACATACGATCAGGCTGCTAAGTTTTATGTAACCAATTATAGAGATGTATGTATATTTGAGATAAAGAATTACCAGCTTTCAACAGTTTCAGCATTAAAAATTACCACGTTTTCAGAGTGCAGATCATCTAACATTTGCGTATAAATATGGAAGTTTTGAAAGGATTCAGGACTTTATAGACTTGAGAGAACGCCTTGAAAATTCGTTGCATTTTGCAATGGTTACTGTTGATAAAATGCTGTTGGAATTATGTCAATGTGACAGTTCTACCGCATTCTTATCAACGATAACCTCGATGCATGTACAACCCGAGGAAGATTCGATTAAATGGGATCGTCTTAGAGACAATCGAGACCTGGATGTATGTATAGTGTTCGTTATACCCTACATTTTTCCAGAATTGCATTGTTTCATAGTTAAAAAGGCTTTGTTTTATATTTAAAACAGATTATGGTTGGGTGGGAGCCTATCACAGAAGAAGATGTCAATCCACGAATGCAAAAGGAGACTGAAACGTGTATGACATACCTGCTTCATGCAAGAAATGTGATTCTACGAATATTAGCCGCTTCCATTGAGTACGACACGTCATTACTTACACGCTTAGCTGATGAACTTTGGCAGCTACAACGGGATCAAATTCCGTCGATTCTTCCGAAGTTCGAAAGAAAAACTGGGAACGAAAAGTGGCGTACTTTGTTGGTTCCACTCGATTCAGTGGATCGTTTGTGTGAGAGTTATTTCTCGGAACAATTAAGTACCATTGCTCATGTTGCGGAATGCTTTTCGCATTCTCCATTTCCTGACTCGGAATGTATCCAGACCCTTAAAGAAGCTCCGTGTCTTAGGACTTTACCTCTTCCGGACCGAGACACTCCAGTCTCATACAAGGAATTTCTCTTGAGAGCTTCGACTTGTGGAGAGACTCTTGCAATGCTTAGTGCCATGTGCATTGTGCGGTCAACAGAAGTGAAACCAGATGCCTCGTTCAAGAAAGGCAAGAAAAAACGTAACACGAAGGTCGAGTCTCTTTCTCCAGAAAAGCATCAGGTGAGTCCGTTGATATTTTTCTAAATCTTATTCTCTCGATTAAATAATGGCATGTTTGAAGAGATGAGAGTGCGAAGAGTCAACTCCGAGTAAACGTGAATTGAGATATTTTCCTATATAACAATTATTCAAGAACATTCATTTCAATAGTCTATGTTATAATATAGCGTTAAAGTACAAAAATTCCAATTTTTGGAACAAGTTTTGTTGCCGAATGAATATGTCGAATACCAAGCTATATTATTTGCACTGTATTAGTATTAACGAATGACCATTCAGTAGTTTGGATATGAATTCCAAATCAAAGCTATCGGCTGATTAAAGGCATCGATGTTGATAATGAATCGTTTTTTTTTGTTCACTGCAGAGTTGGCAACAAATCGAAACACTATTAGAGGAAAGGTTACATAGCCTAGAATCTACACTTTCATCTATTGAAAATCTTGAAGTAAACACAGGCTTAAGTGATGATATGCATATGGCCAAGGAGATAGCAAAGAAAGCACAAGCAAGTATTAATCAGAGCTGTAGAGCCCTGAAAAATCGTGCCCAACGTACACTCAAACTATTAAACATTGAAAAGAGCTGAAAAACCTGGAAAGACTATCTCATAAATATCATCCATCTGCGCGTTTACTGGTTGGCAATCTTAATTTTTTTTTTTATTTATGTAACATTTCCAACGACTATTAATTACCACCGATTTATCTATAATAAAGCGACATATTCTTTTGAACTTTAGTCTTTTATTATGTTTTAACTATAAATTGTGTATAGTTAAGGCATAGTATATGTGCCAATGCAGGTAATTTTTTTATTATTTAAATCATCTACCTATGAGAAATGGAATTACCTTAAATAACGAAGCGAAATCATTGATCTTTGTATGCTATATTTTCAATTGAAATCGACCATTTTTCAGCATTTCATTATGTATCTATATTTTAAAGTGATCAAATACGATATTAGTTTCTGAATATTGCCAGACCTTCGCATCACATGAATATACATATACTGGTCTGAGCTGTGTATATTTGATGTAATAATACATTTTTTAATGTATCGTGTTGATACTATGCATTTACATTTTTTATGAAAAATCAGTCTTCAGAATAGCTCTGCAGGGCTTATACTATAGTAAAAACATTAGGAGTTTAATTTTAATTTAATATATTGATCAATATATTGTTACTACGTTATTTGCACATGTTCTATATGTACATTTGATACGTGACAATGGTGTATCCATATGCCACATGTATGTTTAAGTATACGTACATTTGATGTACCATAAGAGAGATCTATTAACAATGTATAAATTACATTTTTTAATAGTAAATACAGAAACCAGCACTACATTCACTTTTTTTTAGTTTTACCGGTCAGTTTGATTAATGAAGGAGGTTAAGATGTTAAGGAATTCTGCTGGTTTTTCTGCATGTAACCAATGACTAGCACCGGCGATATAATGAAATCGTGCTTCTGGAAATAGTCTTTTTATAGCAGGATGGTCTTTAACTTTTATATAGTCGCTATTTGATCCTCCTATGAACAGGGTTGGTCCATTGAATGATCTAGGTCCAACATCGGGAAATCGGGCGATCTGTGCCTCGAAGTGTTGTTCAAGGGCTGGAAGGTTGACGCGCCATTTATATTTTCCCGTTTCCGCTTCTACAAGATTTGTCAGTAAAAACTGAAAACAGTAATATTTCACGTGAAGCATTTAAATATAGACAAAGAAAATGTATTAAATATCACTTGTTAGTTATAAACAAGGCACAAATGTTACAATTCAACTGAAACATAATCAAATGGTTTTGATAAGTCTTGATCAATGTTTTAAAATATTTTCCTCTTACGTAGTATTGATATTTAATATCAATATTAATTTGAAAAGAAGGCCAATAACTTTTGGAGAAAAGTTAGAAATTGATATTTAAAATAAATGAAATTTATTATAATATGGAAGAATATTATATTATAACTGTTAGTTAAAATATGAACGTACCTGTCGTAGCGTGAGTGAGCTAATGGAATTAGATAATTGTTCATCCGTCATTTTGCGGGCTTTCGTCAATGATAAATTTCCATCTAATGTTATCGAGCGCATTGATTCAAAAATTTTTTTCATTGATGCAATTTCTGGTGACGTTCCAATTGGAGACATATCAACTACCACTAATTTTTCTACCACCTCTGGGTGAAAGAGTGCCACATACATCATTGTCGATCCTCCCATGCTGTGGCCGATTAGTATCGCTTTATCGATGCATAAATCCTTTAGAAGATGAATTACATCCTCTGCCATGACAGCATAAGAAACTTCGGATGAGTGTGGTGAGTCTCCATGATTTCTTGCATCAATTGCTATTACCTTTGGTTTGTGAAGGCAATTAACGAGTGGTGTAACTAGATATATAAAAGATTATATTTTTCTAAAAATGTTTGATGTACCTTACGATTTGTTTTTTGATGTATAACTTTCGCAAGAGAATTCCAATTATTTTTTGAACCAAAGAGACCATGCATTATCATTATAGGGGCTGTAGAATTTTCTTCTGCCGTATCGGCCATTGATTCATAAGAAACATATGCTAATTTGACCGTTGCTGGGCTGAATAAAATATAACTTGCATTGTAATTGTCATTATTTCTTTTTATAACCTTAAAACACTTACTTTTCTGATACATTATGCAGTTCACGTGATGCAATGTGTCTCATTGCAGGTAAGACAGTCGTCCAAATTTGCTTTCCTAGGCATTTTACACGATTACAAGGAGAGTTCATTAAAATCATTTTTGAATCTGGTCAATTCGTCCTGTCTATAATTATTTATCCACGCTTACTATTAAATTTCAGTAAATTTTGAGCAGCATTATGTTAGAAATTCGTAACCTGATACATCTTCTGTGGGGAGGAGGTTAATTTTTTAATGTTTTTGAGCGTGGGAACTTGTAAATGTCAACATGAGATGGCAGCAGCATTCATCTTCAGTAAATGTAGGACAGAGGTGAATTGAGAGATTGCTCACGGGCAGGATCACAGACAGAGATGAGTTGGGAGATTGCTCACGGGCAGGGTCGCGCGAT